CAAACAAAATTCCCCGATTGTGGTAATTGCCATTAAGCTGACAAACACGACCCAAAGATTGGCTTTGGAATACAAACTGCTCAGGACAATTTCAAGGCAGCAGCTGAGATGGTCCAGCTTCATGCACTACTTCAGCCAGGACTTTGGAAAAGCCTTAAACTTTCCCATTGCACAGAGACTGGCAAAAAAAATGATACAGCTAAATCTCTCAGGACCTGATCATAATTTCAATTTTGCCAGGGTCCCCTAGAGATACATTTGCCCTCCAGACAACAGGAAGCAACCTAAAGAGTATGACATGTCCCCAAAAGTGGGGTGGGTTGTTTTTAATCATTCAGTTGGTTATGCATATTTATCATCATTTAGGAGGGTTTTTTTTTATAAGTTGTTATTGGCGATGGTAAGGAAAAAAACTGAATAAAGGAGATTATACTCAGGGATCTTATTCTGAAAAGAAAATAGTAAGATATGGAAATGATAGGATAAAAGGGTAGATTATTGAGTCTACTTTTAAACTAAAAAAGCAACTACTCTTAAATATTTTACATTGGCATGGTTTTTTGTATATTGATACAAATTTAAGGTTATTTTTGTTATATTGTGTAGGTAGAGATCTCACATACCCGCACACTGATCACACCCATTCGGGCGTGGTCACGGGTACATGGGGGAAGGCAGAGATAAGGAGGGGGCACTTTCTCTCTTGGGGTTCCAGTGAGGTTACCGGGGTGTGTCCCAACTCAGTCCTGTTCTCCTGATTGGTGCTGAACCGATTCTTGCATCTGCTGCCACAGGGCTGCTACGGAACCACCACAGAAACCAACACTCCTGCCGAGCTAGCCCAACAAGCCCGGATCCTATGAAGTTTATGAAATGAGCACCTCTGAGCAGCCGCCACTGTTTCTCCACAATTGTGTGTGTTCTCACTCCTACTGTGCCCCGGCTCCACTTTTCCTTCCTCCCCATAAGGTTCCGTAGCACTCCCTACCCGTGGGTTATTTTCCCTTCTTTTAATAAATCCAGCTCGCTAATATTCCGTAAAAGCTGCTTAGAATTTTTTCAGATTTTACTTTTGCAACAGAGCTGCATTTGGCGGCACACATTCGCCACCTGCTGGCCAAGCATAGTTACTACATGTGAAAATCCTTACCTCAACTGGAGATAATTGGAGATAAGCATTACATTCTGGTACTTTAAGCTGGTGAAAATATTACCTACTCTATAATATGGTGGATATTCTTAACATGCAGAACGTTAAGGAACACATTGCATTTTATATGAATGACATCCTGGGAGAGAATTATGACATGCCCCAAATACATTTGTGTATTATGCTAACAATTAGCTTAATAATACATATACTATGCTGGAAGAGAAGACTTAATAACAATACAGAAAACAGGGAAATGGTGCAAGCTATTAATAAATTAGAGTCAAAATTCAAAATCTTGAGATCAACATGGAAATGTCTAACAAAGTAGATAACTTAGAACTTAAAAATAACCACCTACAAGACAGAATTAGTTCCATGACTACTAACCTCATGGCCAAAATAGCATCCATTCAAGAGGACGATATCAGGCTGACAGAAACAACTTGTTCCATGTCTGATGACTCGATTAATAGAATGCAAAGACTAGAACACCAGATCGGTAAACTTACTGAAACATTTCATTCCATGTCTGAGCATAATGACCAGCTAACAGATAGAACACTCTTCCCAGAAGGCAATTTACATGCCATTCATCTAAGGACAAGACTATTAAATGCTTGGAATTGCTTATAAATGATGAATCCAAGAAACTGACAGACTCTATGAAGTCCTTAGAATTTTTTTTTACCCAGGAAGTTCACAAATTCAGAGAAACAATGGCTAAGAAGCTGCAGGTCTTAGAAGATCCCCAACCTGATACATCAGATTCAAAAGTACTAGCAACAGGTCATGACAGAGGTTTACCTACACCTCTCAGGTGCCGGAAAGATCTTCCTAAGATTGTTATGCCATCTCCTATGGCCTTCCCAGTATCCATGACTGAAAAACCAGCAATGAAGAAGCATCCAAATGGTTCTGTTGCTTACCAGTGGGAACCAACAGAGATGAAGGACCTGAAGGGAATTAAACAAGCTGTTGTTTCATATGGTATTCACTCTCCTTATGTCAGGGAGTTACTGAATTCTTGGGTGAGTGCAAATAGGGTAACCCCAAAGGATTGGAGTCCATTAATCATAGCGCTGCTAGAAAATTTGCCTCAAATACAATGGAGAGTGTTATGTAGGGAAGAAGAAAAGGCACTCGAGCTTCAAGGCCAGAAAGGTTATGAAGCTCCCCAGCGGGAAGATACTGAACATGTGGATACCTAAAGAAGACAGAATGGTTAGCCAAAAGACCCACCAAACAGAAAAGAATCTGATATTTGGTATCAATGTTTAATTTTCGTAACTTACGTCCTTATAAAATCTATTTCTCTTTACTTCCTAATATTCTTTTGGTCCCAATTCACTTAAACCAATGCTGGCTTTGGAGTTGGGTTTGGCTCTCCTCCTCTAAATCCAAGCATGCATGTTGTTAAAATAGAATTCAGAGTTTCTGTATTATATCAAGGAGCCAATTGATGTAAGACAGAAGAAAACAAAATGGGGCCCACTTCATCGATTTCACCTGCTCCGACTTGATGCATCTGAACTGGCAAGTACCACCCTAAAACCAATTTGGAATTACATCGCTCTACACATCTCCAGACTAATTCACTGATATGTTGCACCTTCTACACTCTGGCCAGAGCCTCAGACAAGAGCTTCAATCAACATTATAACTTCAGTCAAGAACTTCAATCAAGTATCTCCCTCCAAACAGAGACTGAGTACAAATGTTGTAGCTAGTCCACTTGTGACTTTCACTTGAGGTTGTCATCATCCCATTTCAGCAGGAAGTAATTTTGAGAATACTACGGCCCCTTTTCCCTACTGTTGATATTACAGGATAATTTACATCTGCTAGGGTTAGTTTTCAGTTATTTAGGGTTGGGATTGGAAAGAAGTGTTCAGACTTGGGCATCTTTTTCAGATAAGTTTAAGGTTTAGATGAGATAGATATGCTTAGGATAGGGTATAGGTAGGTCATAATGTGTTTATCACCTTCTGTGTCTATATGCTTTATATATGTTTCAGACTAGTTTCTTTCAAGTCTAAATCTTTTTTGTAGACTAAAGGGGAATTGTAGGTATAGATATCATGTACCCACAGCACTGACTATACCCATTTGAGTGTGGTCACAGGTACATGGGGGAAGGCAGAGATACAGGTCAAGGAAAGAGGGATCACTTTCTCTCTTGGGGTTCGGGTTGAGATCGGAGACCAGCAGAGCCCTGATCTCAGTTCTCAGCATCTCACATAAGTTATTTCTAAAATAATATACAACATCCCTATCCTGTGTAAGGTAATCCTCCGCATATATATATATATATATTTCTGCTCTTGCTTAAGGTATTGTACCTATGCAGTTCATTTAACAATGTCTAGACCATGAAAGTTATTATTACTAACTAGGTTAATAATGAAATGCAGGTTAGTAGTTAGTCACCTATAGCAGTCAAACTTATATCTATTTTAGGTATGTTTTCAAGGTCAAATAGAGAAATATTTTTAGATAGACAGGTCATCTTCAAACACTTCAGAGATCTACAGAGTATGGAATTTAAGATGTTTTAATAACATAGATTCTTTTTTATGACAATGAGACTTATCTGCTCCTGGCAGCATCAATCTACTTCAGAGAAGAAGGTGGACATAAAAAACGAAAACAAAAATCAAAAAACAAAAATCCTCCATATGGAGTGTCACAGTTTCTTCTGAGTTCTGCATACAGAACAGCTTCAGGAATACTTATTAAGATGGAACAAACACACAGGATATCCCTATCAGGACTTGACCATTATCCTAAATTTTCTTTGGATTCTGATAAGATTACCAGTGCAGGAAGTAGTCTAGAAAACTACACCCACATTCCCCAAAACTGGACTATGGATATTTGTCTTTATTTAACATGTTGGTTACAAGTTGTTAAGGGCAATGGTCAATAAAAAAGCCAAACAAAGGAGATTAGTTTCAGGGTTCTTGTTTTGAAAAGAAAAAAGGGGGGAAATAAAAGGGGGACGATGCTCTTATTCTCTGTAATAGTTTGTCGCTTGTACTGGTTTAATAAAATGCTTATTGGCCAATAGACAGGCAAGAAGTATAGGTGAGACTACCAGACTAGGAGAATTATGGGAAGTCGCTATCCAGAAGCAGAAGAACCAAGATGAGAATGACTTACTGAGAAAAATTACCAAGTCACATGGCTAAACATAAGAATTATGGGTTAATTTAAGTTGTAAGAGTTTGTTAGTAATAAGACTGAGCAATAGGCCAAACAGTTTATAATTAATATAAGCCTCTGTGTGTTTATTTGGGACTGAATAGAGCAGGACAGAAAATTCTGTCTACAATGGAGTTTGCTTTCTTTGTGGTAGAAGTTAGCCACTAGGCAAGAAACTGCCCTTGCCTCAACTTCTGACAATATGTTGTCCAAATTGGATACAAAGGAAGCAACTGCCAAACTTTGCCAAGGCAAGGTGAAACATGCCTTCAAATTTCCTGTTTCACAGAAAAGTCTATCAGATATTCTAGGCCTGTAGGCTGAAGATGGATATCCCAAGGTTGCAGAGGAACCTTGGGTAACTGTCCAGGCGCCAGCTGTTTCTGTCATTTCTTAGTTTAGGAAGTTTTTTGCTCTACACTTTCTGTTTGTTCAAGTAACATTATATCCTTCTCAGGACTCTGATATAGTTGAAGACTAGATAGTTACAGTTTTTCTTGTTACCAAATTCAGAAAAGAAACTCACAAAAGAAGTGTAAAATGTATAAGGTTGAGACACATAAAAGGATAGTTTTGGGTTGATAATACAAGTTAGGATAAAAAGTAAATTATGTGAGTGGCACAAGGAGCTGTTACCAGAGCCGGAGCAGCTGGTTAAACCTGATCAAGATGACAACCTCCCAAAAGCACCGTGACTTCGTGGCAGAGCCCATGGGGGAAAAGCCAGGGATTGGTGAAGTCCTGGGCAAGAAGCTGGAGGAACAGGGCTTTGACAAGGCTTATGTGGTCCTTGGCCAGTTTCTTCCGAGAATGGCTGAAAGACACGTGAGGTGCCAATGCCAAGCAATCCCGGGACTGCTTTGGGTGCCTTCGAGAATGGTGCGATGCCTTCTTGTAATGTACTCTGGGACTCCTCAGCCCCACAGCCACAGAATTGAGTCTCCAGAGTCTGAAGCCTGGCGGGGCTCCTCCCTGTTCCTCCATGAAGGAAAAGATTACTGTTGTCACGCTCACCTCCTGTGTCCTCCAGGATCTTTTGGGAGTTCTCCCCCTCAGCACTTAGCCTTTTTAGAATACTCCCCCTTGCATACCTTGCCCCTCCTCCCCCTGCAGCTCCATGGCAACAGTTAACTTTCCCGAATGGGTGGTATTTTCTCTAAATTTGTCAAATGCAAATGGGCTGGATATTGTGAATGTAATTCTTTTTTTTTTACATATATGAGCTTCTGATATTCTTTTTTTTTAAGTGAATGTAATTCTTACCTGATAATTGTTGTTATTGTATATAGTTTTACTCTTAAAACCTTCATTTTTATTCAGATAAAAAGGGGGAAGTGCTGTGTGATATTTTGATCTCATTCTGACAATTAAGTTTGCTTTGAGTCAGAGGGTGGTGCTAGCCACTAGCTGACCAAAATTAACCACAGAGGTTTTGGAGGACTGAGGACAGATAGGAGACAGGAAGTAGTAAGGCAGGGCTGAAAGAGGATCTCAGCCCTTTTGGATGGAGGAATGGAGATAAGAAGTTAATGGTAGCTTCTCTGCAGTTTCTCTGATCAGTCAGGTTCTTACTCCTGTATCTGACTCCCAATTTTTTATTGATAAAAAATAATTAGGTAAATGTATCAGCTGTGATCATCCACTGGCCCTGGCTAGCACTGCTAGTTGCCTACTAGGAAGGTCTTACCTGTCTCTGCCCTTGTCTGGGTCTGCTAGATGCTTGTTCTTGTGCTTGTATAACCAGCTCCTTTTATCATGAGTCTTCCCCATTCTGTGTCTATGGAGAGTTAACTCATTGTACCTACCAAGATGTAGCTGCAGATTCTCTTAACTACCTCATATCTATAGGGTAGTCTTGAGTGGCCTTTCTGGAATAGGTGACAGCCTCTTGGTAGAATTGATTCTCATTTACAATTTGATCTATTAAAATTAGCTGCACTAAAAACTCTTAAGACTATTTTGGTTTTTGTTTGTTTGTTCGGTTTTGGTTTTTTGAAACAGGGTTTCTCTGTAGCTTTGGAGACTGTCCTGGAACTAGCTCTGTAGACCAGGTTGGCCTCTAACTCACAAAGATCTGCCTGCCTCTGCCTCCCATTTATGTATTGTGTTTATGTATGTGTGGTGTCATAGCATATGCATGGAGATCAGAAGACAACTTGTGGGAGTTGGTTCTCCTCTCTACTATGGGAATTCCAGGTATCAAACTCAGCTCATCAGGCTTAGCAACAAGTACCTTCACTGCTAAGCCATCTAGATGACTCCATAACTTTTCTTTTATCCCTAATGTCTGGTTTGTTTGTATGTTTGTTTGTTTTACCATAACAAACCCAGTCAGGAAAACATGGGGAATGGGCTGGGTCTTGGGGGTCATGATGCCTTTAGCTTTCATCTTAGATGGCATGAGAATCCCTGAAGCTGACCAAGGGGCAGGGTCTTACGGGAGAATACTACATACTATGCTATGGCACAGGGTTTAAGCCAGAAAGAGGCTGCTGAGTCTGTTTTAGGAAGGTGAAGACAGATAGGTAGAGCAACATCTGTAAACATAAATTTCCTCTGTCATTACCAAAAACAACTTGGAAATAGGGTTTTATTTTGCTTGCAACTCTGTATCACACTGTTCAAAACCAAAGAAGTCAGGGCAGGAACTCAAGCAATAGGAAGCTAGAAGCAGAAGATAATGCAGAGGGCATGGAAGAGTGTTATTTATGGGCTTGCTCCTCATGCCTTGCTCAGCCTATTTTCTTCTAGAATCCAGGATCACCACCCCAGGTGTGTTTCTACCCACAATGGGCTAGGCCTTCATCCATCAATCATTAATTAAGAAATTAATTAACTATAGGCATTCTAATGGAGAAAAACTGATTCCTTCATGCTATCTGAAGCCTCCACACACATGCTGGTGCATGCACAGACCTACATACACACACACACACACACAAACACACACACACACTTGAGAAAGAAATGTAGAAACTTTAAAAAAGAGTTTAAATTCTTTAAGTTCATTCCATAATTGGTAAATATTTGTCAATGCCACTGCATTGTGCCAAGCTGGAGTTGGCCAGTGGGAGCAGAGCCCTTTCCTCTGAGAAACTCAAACAGGGGCTGAACAAGGCCTCCTAAGAAACTGTCATCAAGATGCCCACAAAGAGAAACATCCATGCATGGGATATCAGGTGCTATCATTCCTGGTCCCAGTCTGGCAACTCATCAATTGAGCTTCGTACTGCCACGGTCACCAAACACCTCCTGCCTCCATTTCTTCCTGCCTGTGCTGACATCATTCCATGTCTTCCTGCCTATCCAGGTTCTCTCTCCCTTCATAGCCACTGCAGGAGGATTTTCTGAATCTTAAACCTGTCCCCTCCTCAGAGAGCTCCAGAACATTCACCACCCAGGCTCAACTCTCCAGGCACTCAAAACTGCAAAGGTCATTATCGAAAGCTGTGACCCTTAGATAGGGCTCCTCATGTTGTGGTGACACCCAAACCTAAAATAACTTTCTTTGCTATGACCTGTAATTTTGCTATCATTAGGAATTGAAATGTAAATACCTGGTTTTCTGTTGGTCTCAGGTAACCCCTTGAAAGGGCCAGTGGGCCCAAGGGTGACGACTTGTATGTTGAGAACCACAGTGCAGTAGATAGTCGTATGATCAGGTCACTGTGGGCTGCAAACGTCACTGTTTCCCTTCCTCTTAGAAAGACAAACCTGGCCCACAGCAGCCGGAAAGGGACTGGTTGCAGCTCTCGACCCGGTAGTCGGAGAGAAATAGGAATGAGAGACGGATGCTGAGCTGGTTATACAGTAATCTTTCCTTCCCACCTGTCTTGTGTCTGACAGATCCTGTGCGCCACGGCAGCAGTCCTGTGAATCATCGATATGCTGTTGGTCATCAAGAAGATGGTGACTGACAAGAAAAAGGGCCGGGAAATGTAAACTAAGCCCTCCACCTCAACAACAAGGCAGGAACTATGCTGAAGTCACCTAACTCTTCCCAGCATTTGGCAGAGGCTTATGTCCACGTATAATCATTCCCACCAGACCATCACGGAGCTCCCAAGCCCACCTGTGTGTGACCATAAAGACAGGGCTGCTAAGTTGCCAACTCTCCTACTTCCTCGTGTGGCCTTATGTAAAAGTCGCATTACACTTCCACTCCTCCACAAGGCTGCCCCCCGGAAGGATGGGAGGGACAGGACCCCAGGGAGCTACAGCCACAAACCTGCAACTCCTTTGCAAGGAAAGCCCCTCTAGGACCAGTGGGGCTCAGCGCATGGGGCCGCGTGGAGGGTGGGAATGCCTGGCCTCTGCCAGGATGGAAGCGATCCAGGTGGTCCACGCGATGAGATGTGCTCGCGCTGAGCAAGCATAAGCGTTGGAATCCTGCAGTCGCAGCGGTCGGTTGAGCGCTGCCCTTGAACAGGTCTGAAGACACCAGGCTCTCTCTTGAGCTGGGCCTGTTCAGGGACTGCAGGAGAGGCTGGGAGGTGAGAAATTGAGAACTGCTGCTAACCATGGCAGCACCTCCGCCTGGCCAGTTCAAGGATGCAGGCGCAAAAAAAGGGTTTCGACGCTATAGGTGGGAATTCAAAGACAGCAATAGAGAATTCTGGGTGAATGGACACGCCATGATCAAGCTGCTGACTCTGGTAAGCTGAATTGGAAGTCTAGGGGTGCCTGTGGAGGGGAGGGCCTCAGAAGTTGGGGAGAACCCTTGAGGCAGCTCAAATGTATGTTTCCACACAGGCCTGCATGATCGCTGGACTACAACTCTTCGAAACAGTGGTCACTCACCCCATCCTGATCCTGGTTCTCACCATGGAAGTGGCCATCATCGCTTTCTTCATCTTCCTTTACTCCTTCGCCATCAACAGATACTTGCCCTTCATCTTCTGGCCTATCACTGTAAGTAAAGACAGGAAAGGAAGTGCCAGTCACATTCAGGCACCTGGCAAAAGACAACCTCACCTCCACTGGTGCTCAGGCTGGGAAGCTGGGTTGGAGGAGGGAAGCCAGGCAGAAAATGCTCCCCCAAAACCTAACTGTGTTGGGTTAAAGAAAGAGGGACCAAAGCTCTCCTATCCTCAGAAACAGGGAAGGTTGTAACAACCAGACATTTCTGCTAACAGCTTTGCTGCCATACATCTCAATGGAATATCATTCCAGGATTCAATAAAGAAAATCAAATTCTGCATAAAACAGTAAAGTGAAGCAAATGCCAAGCATTTCTAAAACAATGTCAGGTCTCTAATGAACATAAAGAATGATACAGGAGCGTGGTGCACCAGAAAGAGTCACACAAGGGAGTGAGGCTGATCTGGGTAAGTCCCTCAAGCATCCCTTCCTCTGGTCCCTTATCTGCACCTCAGGGACTGCGACAACCTGTAGTGAGAATGACTACATTTAAACTTCTTGCCATTGTGTAGCAGAACTCAGAACTTGAATTCTCTCACCTCACTTATGGAATCACCAAGTCTACCCACCTAACTCCCTCCTAGCCAATGAACACCCCAACTTCCCGTTCTCCTTGTTCATTACCCACCTCTAGAGCCTTCTGATTCCCCATTTCCTTCTGTTTACAAACCAGTAAATAAGCCTTCAAAAATTAAATAACCTGCCTTTTAACTCAGTTCCACTAGTAAACTTCAAGAAAGCAAGAACGAGGCAAACTTAATGGAATATATGTCTGTTAGCTGTGATCACCTACCTATCTGCCCTTTTGTTAAAAGTTGTTAACGTACCAATATCCATCAGCCCTATAAAGACCACCAGTGCAGGAGGGAAGGAGACAAGAACTAAAATGGGAACTCTTAAAAACAGAATGCAATGAAGACAAAGAAAAAAATGAGGACCATGTGCCTGGTGAAGGACCTGAAAACATTTAGTAAAATCAAGTTCCACCAAACCATGAAAATCAGTTTTCCTATACTTAACCTAAAAGTGGTAATGGAAATAGAGGCTTATTCTTAGTTATGAATGTGCATCCTTAGTTTGGCTTTGCTTAAATTAATTCATCTATCTTTTGCCTCTGGGATTTCATCTTTCTGTATTTCTGTGTACCTTACTTCCATCTTTACTCCATGGTACACTGGGTGACTGGGCAACCTGATGGCTGGGTGGCTGGGTGGCTGGATGACTGAGTGACTGGGTGACTGGCCCATGATGCCCTCCACTGCTTCTTCTCTCTTACTCTTCCTTTTCCTCCCTTCTCCTTCCATTTATCTTCTCTGCCTGCATGTTCCTCCTATCCTTGCTCCTGCCTTGCTATTGGTCATTCTGCTCTCTATTAGACCATCAGGAGTTTTAAACAGGTACAGTAACACAGCTTCACAGATTTAAACAATTGTAACATAAACAAAAGTAATACACCTTAAAAGAGTATTATACCACAAAATACCCTAGCTGGAAAGAAGGAAACAACAGAAAGGAAGGAAGAAAGGAGGGAAGGAGAGAAAGAGAGGAAGATAGGGAGGGAGAGAGAGGAGGATGGGAGGAATAAAGGCAGGGTGCAAACGTTCCTGGGATGGAAAACAGGAGATTGTTGGGAGTGACTCATGTATCATCTCAGGAGCCTGAGACATGGGTTTTCAAATATTCTCAAGAAAAGAAGCCGGGCGGTGGTGGCGCACGCCTTTAATCCCAGCACTCGAGAGGCAGAGGCAGGTGGATCTCTGTGAGTTCGAGGCCAGCCTGGTCTACAGAGCGAGCTCCAGGACAGCCTCCAAAACAATACAGAGAAACCCTGTATCGAAAAACCAAAAAAAAAAAAAAAAAAAAAAAAAAAAGAAAGAAAAGAGAGGAGGCCTGTCTTGGTTTGGGTTGTGATTGCTGAGATCAGATATCATGACCAAAGCAAGTAGTGTAGGAAATAGTCTATGCAGTTTACACTTCTACATCACAATCCATCATCAAGGGAAGTCAGGTTAGTAATTTAAGCAGGGCAGGAATCTAGATGATGCAGAGGTCATGGAGGACTACTAGCTCTGTCTTGCTCCTCATGCTTTTCTCAACCTGCTCACATAGAACCCAGGAACACAAGCCCAGGGATGGAACCACCCATAAATGGGCTGGACCCTTCTCCATCAATCACTAATCAAGAAATGCCCTACAGCTGGATCATATGGAGACATTTCGTCCATTGAGGCTCCCTCCTGTCTGATGACTTTAGTTCCTGTCAAATTCACATAAAACTAGGCAGACCAAGGCTTTAAGCCAAAACCAAACAGAGGCTTAGGAAATCAAGCCAGCATCCTGAGAATACCACATCCATAGGGGAAAGATGGAGAAGGAAGACATACACACTTTGCCAGCACAAAGAATCAAGACACACTGACCTGTACTTGACCTGTGGGGGTGGGGAGGGAAGGGGCAGGTGTTCTTTGAGAATGGGAACGCACTGCCTAGGACCTAGAAAAGTCATGTCTTCTGCTGCTGATGTTCTAGTTACATCCTCTTAACTCACAGCAGAAATAAATGCAGAACCAAAGCCAAAGCACGAAGAGATTTATGATACACTTGGTCTTTAAAAATGCTACAAACTAAAAATCAAAACTTGGCAAACATGGACACTTTATCTTTTAAAAAACTACAAACTAAAAATCAAAACTTGGCAAACATGGTTGGTGTTTCAGTAGCATATGTCTATAATCCTGACACTCAGAAGCCAAATCAGGAAGACTGAGTTCAAGGACATCCTGGACTCATAGCAAAAATTCTGTATCAAAAATAAATAAATGACACAAGCTGAAGATTACAATCCTGAGACTCAGAGAGCTTAGATGTACTGAGATGAGAAAATAATCAATGCTGTTTAAATGACTGCAGACAAAAATATGACTATAACACCCAACAGTGGTGGCACACACCTTTAATCCCAGCACTTGGGTGGCAGAGGCTTGCAGATTTCCAAGTTACACACCTGCCTAGACTACAGAGCCACTTCCAGGATATCAGGGTTACACAGATAAATGCTGTATATTAAAACAAACAAACAACATAAAGAATATAGAGACATAATAAACAAAATTTTAAAGTGAATATTTTAATGCCTATTATATACAATTTAATTCTTGAAGTAAAAATATGAACAGATGAGTTATAAAGCAGATCAGGGCCAGTGAGGTGGCACACATCTGTCACCCCAGCACTCAGGAGGCTGAGGTAGGGGGCTCAGGAGTTCAAGGCCAGCCTGTGCTACGGAGTGAGTCTGAGGCCATCCTGACACAAAGCAAGAGCTTCTCTACACACACACACACACATACATACACACACATATACACACACACACACACACACACACACACACACTGTGAGTGCGCTAGAGTGTCTCTAGAGAGATTAGGTCTTCTGTGACATGATTTTCAGAGGATCTGGCCCTCTTAGGGCCTCCACTCACACTAGACACGCATAAGATACACAAATATACATACATGCAAAACATTCATACATATAAATAAACAGAATGAGTGAGCAGATCTGACACAGCTAGAGAGAATTAATGACTTGAAAGGTATGGGAAAATTAGCTAGAACTAGTCCTGAAAGATAAAAAGAAGAAATATGAAAGAGAAGATGAGGCACAGAATACAAAATCAGAATTCCATGCAAGAGAATGGAGAAGAAACATTTAAAGTGATAAAGACCAAGAGATCTCTAGAGTTAATGAAATTGATATCACTAAATATGGGATAATACAGACCTCCAAAACTCTGTCCCTCCACAGTAGCAATCTTCAGAAAACTTATTTGTAACTTCTAGCAACCATGAGAATATTTTGTTGTTGTTGTTTTATGTGTCTTTTTGTTGGGCGTTTAATTTGCTTTTGTCTTTCAAGACTGGATTTCTATGTGTACCCTGACTGTCCTGGAACTCACTCTACAGACCAGACTAGCCTCAGACTCAGAGATCTGCCTGCCTCTACCTTCTGAGTGCTGAGATTAAATGCATGCACCACCAACGCTGTCCAAGAGAATGTTGACTGAAAAAAGAAAGTGCTAAATCATAGAGAGAGAGCATTGGGCATTTTAACTTCTCAGACAGCTAAAGAATTCAGGTTCAAATCCACATCCTAAGAAATGACTGAAAATAAATGAAGCATCTGCCACCAGATGTGGTGATTCTAACATTTGGAAGGTTGAGGCAAGAGATCAGAAACTCAAAACCAGCCTCAGCTACATAGCAAGTGTGTGGCCAGGTTACGCTATACTGTTGGTTACTGGTGATGGTCTGGCAAGGTGTTTTTCCATCCTTGGCCTTCTATTCAAGTCCACAGAGACCATAAAGTAAGCAGTAATCTCTACAAAGTGCAACCATGGAACTGGTAGCTACACTTTCAAGATTGACAGCAGCTACTGAGTAAGGCAATCAAGGGACCCAGTTATTGCTTGGGGCTTCCTTCAGTCATTGTTTGGGACTTCCTTTATGCAGTTCAAGTGAGGGAGGAGCTTAGTTACAAAGGATTTAATTTGTGTGGTTCTCTATTAAGACTAATAGTCTTGGACTATGTAAGCTCTTGCTCATGAGGCATGTCCCTTCCCATAATACATCTGATTTTAATCATATGCAACTCCAATTATGCATAGGTATAAGATGGTGAATAGGGAATTCTTCCTAAAATTTCTCTTGAAAACACAGTTTTGGCTTATTGCACATACACACACACACACACACACAGAGAGAGAGAGAGAGAGAGAGAGAGAGAGAGAGAGAGAGAGAGAGAGAGAAGAGAGATTAGACCAGATCAGCCTTCCTATCTTACATATCCCTCTCCAGAGTACTGAATAAATTTGAGTAGAAATTGTTCAAGTCATGAAGAGGAGGAGAAACTTAGTACACTAGCAGTTTGATACAGGTGGGTTCCTAGGTGGATTACAGGTTATTAGGTGCATTGGTCAGAGAGGACTGTATATACATAGTACATGCAACAGCATGCCCTAAAATGTGAAACGCATTGTTACAAGAGGGATTTAGGTGCTAGAGAGATGCTTCAGTGGTTAAGAGCACTGGCTGATCTTCCAGAGGACCTGGCTTCAATTCCCAACACTTACATGGCAGGCGGTTTACAACAGTCTGTAACTCTAGTTCCAGGGTTCTAACACAATTTTCTTGACTCCACAGGCACCAGGCACACATGTACACAGGCATACACATAGGCACAGCATACACCTAAAACACAATGATAATTTTATTAAAAAAATAGGAACATATACATAGCATTCTCAGGTTGCTAAACTATTCCCTATGGTTGTCTGTCCCAACATGATACCTTATCTCACAAGGAAATATGTCTAGTGTATACATAAAGGAAATACCAAAATCAGAAAATTTCTGAGACACGAGACACTGGATCTGAGAATGTATTTCTTGGTAGAGAACTTTGCCTAGCATGGGCAAAGTTCTGGGTTTGATCCTAAGCACTGCTTAAACTGCCTGTAGTTGTGTATTTCTGTAACCATCGCACTCATAAATGGAAGCCAGAAAATCAAAAATCAAGATAATTTTTGTCTACACAATGATTTTTGAGGCTATCAGTGGATATGTGATACCCCATCTGGAACAAAACAATAAATATACGCAAAACAACAGGTTACCCTAAAATTGATAACAGAGGAAACAAACATCAACTGTGAGAATTAAGAAAATAAAAATTTCCAGATGTGGTGGCCCACACCTTTAATTACAGAACTCAGGAAGTAGAGGCAAATGGATCAACCTGGCCTCCATAGTGAGTCCCAGAACAACCAGGCTATATAGAAAGACACTGTCAAAAAAAGAAGGAAGAGGAGGAGGAGGAAGAGACCAAAAATCAATTTCCTTGGTGAGGGGAGAATAAAATAGACAACCCATAAAAAGGAAAAACAAAGAAAAATAGTACAAATATAAAAAAAAGAGTTTTAGATGATCCTGAGGAAAACATGAGCTTTAATGCTAAATTTAGGATAGTTAAAATGAAATTGTTTACTAGGAAAATATTTTTAAAAGTTCAAATAAAAAGAAAGGCTAATAAGTACCCAGATGAATGTCTTATCTGCTCACACCATTTGGTAACTTCATTATTTGTTGCATTTAAGTCATTTGATCCATTTGAGTGACTTGGAGGTACACTGAATCAAGGCTTCTACCTCATTATCATAGCCATTCATTAAATAATTTTCAATACCATAACCCTGTTTATTCTTTTATTGATTAGTTCATTAGTGTAAACTCTTTTGAAATCACGTTTTTGTTGTCAAATCTATAAAGTCCCATTTGCAAAATTCATTTCTAGTCTTTCCATTCCACTGCTCTCATTTTCCCTTTTCTGTCTTTTTTAATGTTGTATAATATTTTCTGTTAGGGATTCTTCTTGAAATCAGATGTTAGAATAAGAATAAATGTGGGTAGTAGTGGCACATGTCTTTCATCCTAGAGGCAGGTGGATCTTTATGAGTTTGATCCTAGCTATCTCTACAGAGTGACTTCCATGACAACCAGGGGTACACAGACAAATCCTGTCATGTAAAAAAAAATTACAACAACAACAACAAAGAATAATCATAGGCCTTCCTTACTTTGAAAATATGGACTAGGTCGGGTTGTGGTAGTGTTTGCCTTTAATCCCAGCACTTAGGAGGCAGAGGGCAGAGGATCTCTGTGAGTTCGAGGCCAACTTGTTCTATACAATGAGTTGTGGAACAGCCAGAGTTACACACAGAGAAACGCTGTCTCAAAAACAAAGATAAAGAAAATACAGACTAAAATGTTCAATAAAATATTAGCACACCAAATCAGGCAATGTGTTAGAAGCAATGTATCACAGTGGAGCAGCATTTATGTCAGGAACACAAATATGTTTTTTGTCTTCAAATTCTATTAATACATTTTTGCTCTGTTGTATTTACAGCAAAAAATGTTGTAGGTTGCAGAAAAACTATTTGGTAATCATCAACACTAATTAAAAAAAATTAAGAAACTAGGCACAAAGGACACATTCAGTCTTAATGCATCTACTCAAATCTTCAACATACATTGCATCTCTTGGTGAAGCCTTTATTTGGAAATCCTGCTCATTCTTGCATCTTTTTTTAAAGATTTGTTTATTTTTTATGTCTTTTTTATTTTTAAATTTAAATGATAAATAAGGTGCTTCACATGTCAATCCCAGGTCCCTCTCCCTCACTCTCCCCTCCTCCCATGCCCTGCTCCCAACCCCCCTAGCCCCCCCTTCCCCAATCCCCACTCCTTTCCTCAGGGAGGGTGAGGCCCTCCATGGGGGGTATCCATAGTCATCTCTCCAGCCCCTTCTTGCATCATTTAAGCTGAAATAGTAGTAAAAAGTAACATGAAAACCCAGGTGTGTACAGATTGGAATGGGAAAACAAGGATTGCTCCTATATAACATGAGCTTCCTCACAGAAAACACAGAAGATGCTACAGCCACCATAGGATGGAATGAGTGATTAAGGTTACCAGAGATCAAACGCCCATGCTCCCCATGGTAGCAGAGATTAGTGAGAAAATGTAACCTTAGAACAATGCGGATTCTACCAGATATCTAAGAATAAACCTATTGAAACATAAGGTAAACTAGTTAATAGACATCAAAAGAAAACCTAAATGAATACTTACTGAATTCCTAGGTATTATATTACCACCATAGAGAGAGCAGTTCAATTCAGAACTGAGTTCTGAATCTACAAATGGCATTGCATGGGAACAGGACTTTCTACGGAACTTCACAAGTGATATAAATTCATTGGTCAGTAGTGACTACAGAGACTTTGTAACCAATCAAAGTACTGGGAATAATGACTGTTGGAAACTCAGACACAAATGGCACATCCTGTATCTGTAGACAGAAGAAGTTTTTGTCCCACCCAGTCCTGAAACTGTGTAGTCCTAAATAAACACACAGAGGTTTTTATTAATTATAAACTGTTTGGCCCGTGTCTCAGACTTCTTATTAGCCAGCTCTATCTTAATTGTTAACCCATTTCTATTAATCTGTATGTCTCCATGTAGTCTTGGCTTAACGGCAATGCCTAGGTCTCTTGCTTCCTTGGTATCTACTCAGTGTCTCCCTGACTCCAGCTACTACTTTTCGCTATTCCTGTTTGGATTTCCCTCCTGACTAAATCCTGCCTGTCCATTGGCCAAAACAGCTTTATTCATTAACCAATAAGAAAAACATACATTAACAGCATACAGAAGGACATCCCTCATTATCTCCTCTTTTCTGTGTACATAAAAGAAAGGTTTTAACTTTAACATAGTAAAAGTATACATAACAAAACAGTTACCAAGCAAGAATTATATTTACAACATTTAATCCACTAACATTAAGCAAAATTTAAAGACACTACTTTATCCTCTCTTCGTGAGTCTAGAGTTTTATATGTAACTCATCTTTTATCATAACTAAGGAAAACCATAACCCTAACTAACTGTCTTCAACTCCATCAAAGACCTCAGAAGGAACCGGACTGAGACATCTCATTGCCTGGAGAGTCACCCAAAGTTCTTCTGTAACAACAGGGCATCCATGTTCAGCCCATAGGCCATAGTGTCTGGCAGACTTTTTAATGAAGTAGGAGATTTGAAGATCTGTTCGTCTTGCATTGGCCAAGTTTGCCAGTTGCTTTCTTCTGTAAAGCAGGAACACTAAAGAACCAGCCTGTCTTTTGGCAAATTCAACAGTCACTTTCCTTTGTAACCAACTTGTCCACTTTGGACAGCATGCTTACTGTCAGCAGTTAAGGCAAGAGCAGTTTTTTGCCCAATAGACCAGTTTTGCCACATGAAGGCAAATTCTGTAATGAGTTTCTTCAATGCCTCTGACATAATTGGTGTTGCCAGGAGCAGTTGTATCTCGTTGTCATGAAGAACCCTAATAAATCATTTTAAATGTCATAATCTGTAGGTCTTTTAAAGGTTTTAAAGAATTCCTATCCATTTGAAATATACCTCTGTGCATCTACAAAACCTAGCAAAGTTTTGACTATTATAGGTAACTATAATCTGTATCTGTTACATTCATTTTTAAATGAGCTATATAAAACCAATACCTATACAAGAGTAGAAATATACATATAACAAAATTGACCTTAAATTTGTATCAATAAACCAAAACCTATACCAATGTGAGGCATTCATTTCTATATCATATTCCATTTTTTCTTTAGAAAGAGGTTGACTGTGATCATTAACCATTTATAACCAACCCTGTTAAATGAAAACAAACATTTATAAACAATATTTGGGAATATGGTCATTGTTCTCTCCAAACTGCTTCCTGAAAAGAATGTCCAGCTTTTCATCTTCTCTGGAAACAAAAGTAGAACCTCTTTTCCAAAGTAACATATCCTTAGACTTAAATTTTGAAGTCAAGGCAATTTCAAAATATATAGGTTGAATTAATCCAGCAGCATTTATAATCAGATGTCTTTTTTTTTAGTCAAATGTCTTTAGCAAATCTTTCTCCTTTCTCAGCAATCAAACAATTCAAAGACAACATGGTAACATACAGTATGCAGACTCTCTGTGCACATTCCATCTTTACATGACTTTTTTATTACTCTATTTCTTTTATTTTTTATCTTGGGAGTTTTGTAAGACAGGGTTTCTCTGTGTATCTTTGGCTGTCCTGGAGCTCACTCAAAAACCAGGCTGGCCTTGAAATCACAGAGATCTGCCTGCCTCTGCCTCTGGAATGCTGGGATTAAAGTCATGTGCTACCATGCTCAGCTACTGTATTTCTTTTTTAAAGACTTTCTCCATCCTTTTTCTTTTCTCCCCCAAGCCTATGTATACTTTTAAACATACTAGGAACCATTTTGAGGTTTTACTTCATCTGCATCAGTCTTTACTGTATATCTCTATCTTTCTCTGATCACATGAATCTTCAATCTGCTAATCAGCATGAATAAGAAGATTAAAGTGGTAGCTGGCTCCATCCCATTTCTTGGCTTCCTGAGAGTCTATCTTAATGACAGACTGCTGTGGGCCATGTTTATTGTCACAACTCTGCAGAGATTCTACATCCATGTCACCACCAAGAAGCATACTCAAAAGCACCATTTAGGTGTTTGGTATCAGGGCCTCTCAAAAGAGCCCAGAGGTTTTTACTACTAACATTGAGTCAGGAAGCCTCTCTTAAAGGAGCTGTGCTTCTGCTTACCTATAGCAAACAGAGCCCACCCGAGAAAATGCTGTTACCAAGAAGCTGTGCTTCAAAATCCCTTTTAAAGCTGTTGTCAGGTAATACATATGCCATTGGATGCCATATGTAGATGGAAGTTTCTGTCCTCCTGGTCCTGCAACCATTTAGTCTGAAATAAACACAGAGAGGTGTATGTTAATTATAAATGGTTTGGTCCATGGCTCAGGCTTCTTATTGACTAGATCTCTCCTCATTATTAACCCATTTCTATTAATCTGTATATCTTCATGTAGTCTTGGCTTAGTGGTGCATGCCTTTAATCCCAGCACTTGGGAGGCAGGCGGATCTCTGTGAGTTCAAGGTCATCCTGGTCTACAGAGCAAGTTCCAGGACAGCCTCCAAAACAATACAGAGAAACCCTATCTCGAAATAACAAAAGAAAAAATATATATATATAATGAGGGGGCTGGAGAAATGGTTTAGTGGTTAAGAGCTCTGAATGCTCTTCCAGAGGACCCAGGTTCAATTCCAAGCATGTACATAGCAGCTATCAACAGTCTGTAACTCCAAGATCTGATACCCTCACACAGACATGCATGCAGGCAAAACACCAAAGCAAATAAAATAAAAATAAAAAATACTAAATAAAGTATAATAAACCCATCATCATGTGTAACAAGCATGAACTAATAAAAACATTACAAATAAAATTCTTTGGAAAACTGAAAAGAACTACAAGAACAGATTTGCCCAGTAAGATACCAGATTTGCCCTAAGTTTTGGTGCTAGATCATGGATTAACTAAAGGAATTGTTACAAATGGGATTTTTGTGTTCTCTATGGTTTCATATCCTGAGATGGGGCCTTTGAGGAAGTAATTAAGAATAAACAGAAAACTTAAGGTTGTTACCCTGATCCAAAACCACTAGTAGCATCACAGGAAGAGACAGGTCATATGCCTGTCTCTAATGGAAGGCCATATGAAGATAGAGAGAGAAAGGCAGGTGTCTACAGTAAGGGAGAATGCTGTGGTACCTTGCTCTTGGTCATCAAGTCCCCACATGGTGAGAGGATAAACATCTGTTGTTCAAGCCACCCAGCCTACTGCATTTTATAGTGGTGTCTAGGAGGAGATCAGAGAATCCAGGTTTACATACATACCATGACTTGTATAAGACAGAGGTAGCATTGAATACACTGGGACAGCAGCTGGAGTGTTGGCTGAACAGTTAAGAGCACTGACTACTCATGTAGAGGACCCAGGTTGGGTTCCCAGCATCCAAGCATCCCACAAATTGCTGTAACTTTAGTTCCAGGGAATCCAATGCTGTCTCTGGTGTTCTCAGGCAATACACACATTTAGTGTGATTACATGCATACGGAAACACACACACATAAAATAAAAATAAGCAAAACATTTTTATAAGACAGTTAGACAGAATATTAATGAGAGTACATTTATTGATAGGAGAGATTGTACATCCCACTAAAATTAAAAACAATTTAAAATTTAGACATTCTAAGGAAAACAACTAATAGAAACTGGGACAACAGGCATAAAATATATAGAATTTGGGTTGCTTTTATGCCGTGTTGGGGAAAGAAAGCTTGTGTGTGGTAAAGGAAGGCCAAATCCCCAAGGAATGAAAAGAAAGGCATTGCTGAAGGAGGAGGCAATCAGGGAAGGAGGTCCAGGGGGTAAGGAGGGGCTGGGGTGAAGAAGGGAGCTGCAGGCTCCCAATGTTAAGTCAGAGAGCAAGAACCTCCTACCTGCAGTTCTGCTGATGGAAACTCCAGAGAAGAGACGACAGAAATGAGGAGGGAAGTAACTAACAGGTACCATGAAGTAGTCGGTCTCTGCATGGATTTACATGAATATTGATAGGCCCCAGACACCTGGTTTTGTAAGACAGATGGTATCTTGTGTCTTGCCTGAGCAAACGGCAGTGAAGTTTGGACTGTGTTCTACACACACAGAGGCCAGCAGGGAGGCACTGGTTGATCTGCTTGACCAGAAACATATTTGCCTTTGTATATTCTGTTTTAAATTATCCGGGGAGGGGGGCATTTGAACATGGTTTCATGGAGGAAACTGTGCTGTGTCTGGGGTGGATGGGCACAACTACCTAAGACCAGTTCTTCTCTTCTGCTTTCAGGAAATCTTCAACGACCTCTTCGCCTTCGTGTTCCTGGTGGGCGGCATAGTCTTTGCTGCAAAGGCGAGACGAGTGATGCCACCGCCCTACTTAGCTGCTGTGGTGAGCTGTTTCTGTTGAGCTGTGGATTTCCTCAAATCACTGTTACATAAATCCTGGGATCAAGGCCTGCGTTGCGGCTGAGTCTCTGGAGGCCTGGTCTGGGCTGATCTAAGGCACTGTAAAAACCTACTGTAGTACCTCCTGCCTGTCTATAATGGTGGTACTCAGGAGGTAGAGGCAGAGGACCAAAGTCCAAAGTCATCCTTGGCTCGATAGTGAGTTCAGGGCTATCCTGGGGTACATGAGACAGACAAACAAAACTTGGGGTGGAAGCAAATTTAAGAAGCTGGTAAATGTTTCTAATGGAGAAGACACATTTTTAAAGATGGTGTCTAGGAAGGCAGCCAAGTTGCCCGTGACGCTCATGTGTGTCAAATGAAAGGAAAGGGAAACAAGATGAGGGGACACTGGGCATGCAGCCGAGGAGGGCAGACTGAGGGGGGTCTGGGATTGAGGCCTTCAGGGGTTCACTGTGCATCACATCTGACGATAGACCAGGAAGGGAATCTGCCCTTTCCTTCTAGGTCCATCATCAAAATAATGAAGATCCGTTTGTTTTCCTAGGTCCTTATGGGAGTTGCGGCGATTTTTTCTATTATTGACCTGTGTCTTCAAAAGAAACACCTCAAAGGCAAGAAAATCCGCAAGGGTGCTCTGGGACAAACAGGCCTCGGTGTACTGATGGAGACAGTTACCAAAGAGGAAGAGATGGCAATCCGAAGGGCAAACGAGGCGATTGAGAGGGAGGAGAGGGAAAGAAGGAAGAGGGAGAGAAGGAGGTAAGAGGACAGCAGCGCCTGCGGTCAGGAACGGAGGGAACGCCGGGAACGCTGGGAACAGCAGGAACGGCGGCGAGCTTTGTGGCCTGGCCTCTGTACTCTCTCCCCTTGCCGGCTTTCCAGCCTACTTTCCTTTGCCGTCAATAAACACCTCTTGGAAAGTAAATCTCTCTTTAAATGGATTTTATACTAGAAGTCAGACAATCTATCCAGTGCTCTTCATCCCACAGAAGCTCCTAGAAATTTCAGTGCGGAGAGCAAGGCCCCCGAGGGATCCCGACCCACAAGCTGAGAACCACTGCCCTAGATAGTCTAGCCACCCTGGAAGGGAGTCATCCTCCTGAGGGAAAGTGATAATGTTTATAATTGACATTATGTAAGTCCCTTCTAAATTAGTTATCCTCTCATGTAATTGTTCCATTTTCAAACTGTCCAGCATATTATCATACAGAGACCAAAAGCCCTCCATTGTAATAGTGCTTCCAATTTTTCAATGTGGAAAAAGTGTCTCATTTAAGTAACTCCTCCCTTTAAGAATTCCCGATTGTGACTGAGAGGCCTGAATCCCAGCCCGGAAGCAGTGTCAAAGGAAGGCCAGAGCTTCAGGCCCAGAGCAATGCCAAAGGAGACCCGAGCCTCGGAACTGGGGGCAGTGTCAGAGGGAGGCCCCAGCCCCGGGAGCAAGGAGTGACCGCCAGGTGAAGCAACAGCAGCGCTTTCCAGCAGGAGCTTCCTGAAACTTTTGTAAAAAGTTCCTCTGGGAAAGAGCATCTGTGTCCCAGCCAACATCCACTGCCATTTCTCAGTGGGAGATACCCCGCTACTATGTCAGCTACTGGGCCCTCAGCCCCATCTACACCTCCAACGGGAAGAACATCCAACCCAGCTGTTGTAGCCCCACCTGCACTTCAAGGAGCCACCACCTGAGCCTTGGGCCCACTTCCACCAGGAGGAGCTCTGCTCTACTTGTGCCTGAAGGAGTGGTCAATGGAGCCACAGCCCCCAGCTATACCAGTTGGAGAAAGAGAGTCCCCCTGAAGCACAAGATCCACCTACACGGATTAGAGGAAGAGATGCAGAGACAACAAGGTAAGATCACACTCAACAATATAAAGAGCAATGCCAGCAAGACCAGAACATCCTGACCCGGATGAAGCATAAGAAAACGACCTAAAAAATAACTTTATGAGGATGATTGAGGCCCTTAAAGAGGAAATGAAAATTTCTCTTAAAAATGGAGGAAAAAACAAACAAAAAATTGGAAGATGTCAACAAATCCCTTAAAACAACAACAAGACAAAGCAATCAAGCAAGTGAAGGAAGTGATTCAAGACGTGAAATCTGAAATAGAGGCAATAAATAAAACACAAACTGAGGAAATTCTGGAAATGGAAATTCTGGGTGAACAATCAGGAACCACAAGTGCAAGTATAAACAACAGAATACAAGAGATGGAAGACAGAATCTCGGGCATTGAAGATAACTTGGAGGAAACAGGTTCATCAGTCAAAGAAAATTTTAAATCCAACAAATCCTTAACACAAAACATGCAGGAAATCTGGGACACCATGAAAAGACCAAACCTAAGAATAATAGGGATAGAAGCAGGAGAAGTCCAACAAAGGAGCTCAGAAAATATATTCAACAAAATCTTAGAAGAAAACTTCTCCAGCCTAAAGAAAGATATGCCTAGAAAAATACAAGAGGCTTACAGAACACCAAATAGACTGGACCAAAAAAAAATCCCCTCACTACATAATAATCAAAACAACAAACATACAGAATAAAGAAAGAGTAGTAAGAGCTGCAAAGGAGAAAGGCCAGGTAACACATAAAGGCAGGCCTATAAGAATTATGACCGACTTTTCAATGGAAACAATGAAAGCCAGAAGGTCCTGGTCAGAGGTTATGCAGACACTAAGGGACCATGGATGCCAGCCCAGATACTTTACCCAGAAAAAGATTTCAATAACCATAGATGGACAAAACAAGATATTCCATGATAAAACCAAATTTAAGCAATACCTATCCACAAACCCAGCCCTACAGAAAGTACTAAAAGGAAAACGCCAACCCAAGGAAATCACCTACGTCTACAAGAACACATGAAATAGATGAGCTTACAGTAGCAAATCCCAAAGGAGGGAATTGAACACACAATGCCATCACCAACAACAAAAACAAAAATAACAGGAACTATCAATCACTGATCAATAATATCCATTAATATAAGTGGTCTCAATTCACCTATAAAAAGGCACAGGTTAACAGACTGAATACAAAAACAGAATCCATCCTTCTGCTGCATACAAGAAGCACACTTCAAACACACAGACATTACCTCAGTGTAAGTGATTGGGAAAAAACTTTCCAAATGGACCTAAGAAACAAGCTAGTGCAGTTATCCTATTATCTAATAAAATAGCCTTCAAACTAAAATCAATTAAAAAATAAAGAAGGGCATTTCATATTCATCACAGGAAAAATCCATCAAGAGGAAATCTCAATTCTGAACATCTATGTCCCAAACATAAGAGCTCCTACATTTGTAAAAGAAACATTACTAAATCTTAAATCACAAATCAAGTCCTACACACTAACAGTGGGAGACTTCAACACCCCACTCTCACCACTGAACAGATCTGCCAGACAGAAACTTAACAGAGAAATAAGAGAACTAACCAAGATTATGACTCAAATGGATTTAACAGACATCTAAAGAACATTCCACCCAAACACGAAAGAGTATATTTTCTTTTCAGCACCTTATATAACCTTCTCAAAAAATGACTATATACTCAATAACAAAGCAAACTTCAACAGATTAAAAAAGTGGAATAAATATCTGTACCATATCAGATCACCACAGCTTAAAGTTAGAATTCAACCGAAACATTAATTTTAGAAAGTCCACAAACACATGGGAAATTGAACAATGACCAACTGAACCACCACTGGATCAAGGAAGGAATAAAGAAAGAAATAAAAGACTTCCTAAAATTGAATGAAAATAACCTCACAACATATCCAAACTTGTGGGACACAGTGAAAGCAGTGCTGAGAGGAAAGTTCATAGCACTAAATGCCTACATGAAGAAAATGGAAAAATCCCACACTAGTGAATTAACAGAACAACTGAAAGTGCTAGAACATAAAGAAGCAAACTCACCCAGAGGGAGTGGATAGCAAGAAATAGAGAGCTGAAATCATTAAAATAGAAACAAAGAAAATGCAAAGAATCAATGAGACAAAGAGTTGGTTCTTTGTGAAATTCAACAAAATAGACAAACCTTTATCCAAACTAACCAAAAGACAGAGAATATCCAAATTAACAAAATCAGAAATGAAAAGGGGGACATAACAACAGACACTGATGACATCCAGAGAATCATCATCATGTCATACTTCAAAAACCTGTACTCCACAAGACTGGAAAACTTTAAGGAGCTGGACAATTTTCTAGATTAGTACCATGTACAAAAATTAAATCCAGAACAGATAAGCAACTTAGATACACCTGTAACCCCTAAGGAACTGGAAGCAGTTATCAATAGTCTCCCAACCAAACAAGCCCAGACCCAGATGAATCCAGTGCAGAATTCTACAAGATATTCAAAGAAGATCTAATACCAATACTCCTCAAATTATTCCACACAATATAAACAGAAGGAACATCATCAAACTCTTTTTGTGAGGCTACAATTACCCTGATACCCAAACCACACAAAGACACAATTAAGAAAGAATTACAGACCAATTTCCCTCATGAACATACATGCAAAAATACTCCATAAAATACTATCAAACAGAATTCAAGAACACATCAGAAAAATCATCCACCATGACCAAGTAGGATTCATCCCAGAGATGAAGGGATGGTTCAATAGAGAAAAATCCATCAATGTAATTCATCATATGAACAAGCTGGAAGAAAAAACTCACATGATCATCTCACTAGATGCTGAAAAAGCCTTTGACAAAATTAGCACCCCTTCATGATAAAGGTCTTGGAGAGAATAGGGATACCTAGGAACATACCTAAATATAAGAAAGGCAATATACAGTAACCCAACAGCCAACATCAAACTAAATAGATAAAAACCTGAAAGCAATCCCACTGAAATCAGGAACAAGACAAGGCTGTCCACCATCTCTATATCTATTCAACATAGTACTTGAAGTTCTAGCTATAGCAATAAGACAACAAAATGAGATCAAACGGACACAAATTGGAAAAGAAGTCAAACTCTCACTATTTCCTGATAATATTATAGTATAAATAAGTGACCCCAAAAATTATACCAGAGAGCTCCTACAACTGATAAACACTTTCTGTAATGTAGCAGGATACAATATTAACTCAAAAATATCAGTAGCCCTACAATATACACATGACAAATGGGCTGAGAAGGGAATCAGAGAAACTTCACCATTCACAGTAGCCACAAATAACATAAAATGTCTTGGGATAACTCTAACCAAACAAGCAAAAGACCTGTATGTCAAGAATTTCAAGTCTTTAAAGAAAGAAATTAAAGAAGATATCAGAAAATGGAAATATTTCCCATGCTCTTGGATAGGCAGGATCAACATAGAAAATATGGCAATCCTACTGAAAGTAATTACATATTCAATGCAATTCCTGTCAAAATCCCAGCACAATTCTTCACAGACCTTGAAAGGGGAATACTCAACTTCATATGGAAAAACAAAAACCCAGGATAGCCAAACAATCCTGTATAATACAGGATCATCTGGGGGCATCAGCATCCCTGACTTCAAGCTCTACTATAGAGCTATAGTAATGATAACAGCTTGGTTATTGTCATAAAAACAGTCAGGTAGATGAATGGAATGGAATCAAAGACCCCAATATTAACCCACACACCTATGAACACCTCATTTTTGACAAAGAAGCTAAAAATATAAAATGGAAAATATATTCAACAAATGGTGCTGGCTTAACTGTCAACATGTAGAAGAATGCAAATAGATCCATATCTATTGCCATGAACAAAATTCAATTTCAAATGAATCAAAGACCTCAATATGCATCCATCTACATTAAACCTCATAGAAGAGAAAGTGGGAAATATATTTGAATGCATAGGCACAGGAGACCACTTCCAAAATACAGCACCAGTAGCACGGAATCTGAGAGCAACAATTAATAATTGGGACCTCCAGAAAATAAGAAGTTTCTGTAAAATAAAGAACACTGTCAACAAGACAAAATGGCTCCCTACAAAACGGGAAAAGATCTTCACCCACCCACCTACTCCTGATCTGTTTCTGCTTGCCTGTGGGTGAGGATGTAAATTCTTAGCCCCACACCTGCCTGCTGCCATGTTGACCATGGGCTCACCCTCTAAGCAAGCCTCCAATTAAATGCTTATTTTAAATAAGAGTTGCCTTGATCACCATGCCTCTTCACAGCAATAGAATACTGACTAGGAGCCCTCAGAAACCCCAAGTCCCCCCCCAAAATACTTCTATAAGTTGCCTTGGTCACAGTGTCTTATCACAGCAGCAAAAAAGAACTCCTACAGAGTACAAGTAAGAGACCCTGACCATGTGAATGAGGTGAAGGATACCTGAGGGAGGCTCTTAATGTCATGAGATGAATGCACACATACGTACCCACATGCATGCATACACCCCACACACATACGTACCCACATACATGCATACACCCCACACACATACATACCCATATAAATGCATACACCCCACACACATACATACCCACATACATGCATACACCCCACACACATACATACCCACATACATGCATACACCCCACACACATACGTACCCACATGCATGCATACACCCCACACACATACGTACCCACATACATGCATACACCCCACACACATACATGCATACACCCCACACACATACGTACCCACATACATGTGTACACCCCACACACATACGTACCCACATGCATTCATACACCCCACACACATACGTACCCATATACATGTATACACCCCACACACATATGTACCTATATACATGTATACACCCCACACACATACATGCATACACCCCACACACATATGTACCCACACACATACGTACCCACATACATGCATACACCCCACACACATACATAAAATGAAAGTCTGATGGATGTCTCTCCTCTCTTTGGAATAATTCCAGTTGCTCCCCTTGTCCACCTGTACTTGGTAGTGTTACACACACACACACACACACACACACACACACACACACACACACTTTTTAGCCATTTCAGCAGGCGGTTTTAGTGTCTCATTGCTTGCCTTTGTGCTTAATCATGTTTTTGCAACACTGCAACCAAAATACTTGACAAAACCAACTTAAAGGAGGGAAGATTTGTTGGGATTCAGAGAGGTTTCAGTACATTATAGGAAAGCCACAGTAGCAGGAGCACATGGCAGAAGGAGCAGAGCCGTTAAGACAACCATCAAAGAACTGCAGAACCCACAAGAAAATGACTGCTGAACTTGTCAAGATGAGACAGGATGGTCCTTTAGAGTTCCTGCTTCACAAAGGAAACAGCCAGACACTCGCAGGACACAAAAGAAAGTGAATGGTGAACTTTGCCAGTACAAGACAGAACAGATCTTCAAATTTCCTGCTTCCCTGGAAAGTCTGCCAGACACTTGAGGCCTGTATGCTGAAGACGGATGCCCCGGTGTTACAGAAGATCTTCGGATGACTGTCCAGGCAGCCAGATATCTCTGCCATTGCTACAGTTTTGAAAGTTGCTTGCAATGCCCTTCCAGTTTACTTAGGGAATATTATATTTTTCTGGGGTCTTTGATGGAGTTGAAGATGAGATATAGTTTTCCTTAGTTATGACAAAAGATAAATTAGATATAAAACTTTAGACTCACAAAGATAGGATAGATGATAGAATATTTTTTTTAATTTTGCCAAAAGGCAAATAGACTAAATATTGTAATTATTATTCTTGCTTGGTAACCGTTTTGTTCCATGTAATTTTACTATGTTAAAGTTAAAACCTTCCTTTTCAATTAGACAGAAAAGGGGAGATGATGTGGGATGCCCTTCTGTATGCTGTGAATATATGTTGCTTTTATTGGCTGATGAGTAAAGCTGTTTCAGGCAGTGGCCAGACAGAATCCAGCCAGGCAGGAAATCCAAACAAAGATACAGAGAGAAAGCAGGTGGAGTCAGGGAGACGCCATGTAGTCACCAGGGAAGCAAGATGTGAAGTAACAAGTCATGTAGTCACCAGGGAAGCAAGATGTGAGGTAACAAGTCATGTAGTCACCAGGGAAGCCAGATACGAAGTAACAAGTCACTAGCTTTGTGGTAAAATATAGAATAATAGAAATGGGTTAATTGTGAAAGCTAGTCAGTAATAAGCCTGAATCATTGTTCAAACAATTATAATTAATATTAGGCCTCAGAATGATTACTTAATAAGCAGCTGTGGCGGGGGGGGGGGAGCGGAGAAGAGGGCAGGTGGGAGAAAAACCAGTCCAGTGGAACCAAACAGACAGAGAAAAGCTTCCAACTACAAAGAACTGCCCCTGGTGATCTACTTCCAACCAGGCCCCAGGCTCTTAAAGGCTTCATAGTCTTCAAAACAGTGTCACAAACGAGGGGCTCGTTGTTCAAAACCTGAGCCCTTGGGAGACATTTCAGCTTCAAGCCTTGAGTCTGGACCGCTTATTTTCTTTTTTCTCTTTTTCTTTTTTTTGGTTTTTACAAGGCAGGGTTTCTCTGTATTGTTTTGGAGGCTGTCGGTCCAGCCCAGCCTCGAACTCACAGAGATCCGCCTGCCTCTGCCTCCCGAGTGCTGGGATTAATGGCGTGCGCCTCCACCGCCTGGCTAAGTCTGGGCCGCTTATTTTCTATTTGTGTGTATACATACCTATGCATATGTGTGCGTGTGGCACATGAAGGGTTAGACTCTCCCATTCTACAACTGAGTGTAGCTTTCAGTTCTCTGAAGAGGACAAAACAGATGTCTCTCCCACGAAGGCCCATTTATCCACAATGACCTTATATTCAGAGGCCTGGGCCAGCCTCACAGTGTCTCAAGGACAAATCCAGCAGCCCCTCCTGAGTCACGTCCAAAGTGGGCCAAGTTAGTGCAAGTATGTCCAAAAAATGACGACCGAACCTCAGCCAATTAAAAATACACTAGCATAGCTGCTGATTGTCTAACCAATCATATCTGAGATGACCTAAGAGTTCCTGAAACTTCCCTTAGTTGTGCTTAAAATGAGCCTGCACACGCCTCTCGGGGTCTTTGCCATTTTGGACAGGTGAACAATCCCACATGCATGCTAGAATATTAATAAACACTCTTTGCTTTTACATTCTATTTGAGTCTGGGGTTATCCTTCCTCGGACTCTTACAGTCCGTGTGCAGGTGTGTGTGCCTCTGCATGTGGAGACCTGGAACTGTTGCAGATGGTTGTGAGCTACCATGTGGTTTCTGGGAACTGAACCCTCGAAAGTGCTCTTAACAGCTGAGCCGTCTCTCCAGCCCTATCAGGATTCATCCTATTCAGGGCTACTTGGTGCAGCCTGCCCCCTACCCTAAGCATCGAGGGCTTCCTCACATCCTGTGTTTCTTGCATGGCTTTTGAATGTACAAGGTCTTCCTGAAGGAATCACACTGCCTTACCATGAGTGCAGAGAAAACCTTCTTCAGGTAAGACAGCAAAAGTAGAAGCTGGGAAGACCGCTCATAAAATAATGTCCCTGCTGCATGAGGACCTCAGCTGGACCTGAACTGGATCCCACATATAGTGGTAATACTAGTTCTGGGAAAGCAGAAACAGAACATCTGGAGCTCATTGGCCAGGTTAATCTTATGGAAATTCCAGGCACTCCAAATTCAGTGAGACACTGTCCAAAAAAAAGACACCCCTGCTCTCTACCAGAGTATGCATGTGAGCATGCACACGCACGCACCCACGCACCCAGGGCTAAAAGGGACAGATGCACAGAGGCCCTGTGACACAAGGAAGCAACAGTTTGCATGAGGAAGCATGATTAGTAATTTAAGTGCTTATCTGACTGACAAGGAAGAAAGCAAGAGAGCCTCCGCGGAGATGGGCTAGCAGTGAGGGAGGACAAGGACAATTCCCAGATCTCTGGTTAGGCCAACACCGGAAGAAACCAAGCCTTGGGCAGCTACCAAAAGAGGCCCTGAAGGGCAGGCTAGGAACCACAGGAGAGTGGCCAGGGAAATGGCTGGGAAACTCCAGCTGAGAAGGAAGGTAGGCTAGCCAAGGACCAAGGGGAGGGTGACTGGGAAGTAGCAGGAGTTGAGAGAGAGCGGAGGGACACAGCAAGAACTGACAGCTTAAACCTGTGGTGGTGGCGCACGCCTTTAATCCCAGCACTCGGGAGTCAGAGGCAGCCCCATCTCTGTGAGTTCTCAAAGCCTGGTCTACAGAGCAGGTTCTAGGACAGGCTCCAAAGCTACAGAGAAACCCTGTCTCGAAAACCCGAAAAACAAAAACAAACAAAAAGAGCTGACTGCTTGGTGAGAGCCGAGCCAGGAGGGTCCCTGCCCCAGAGATGTCTAGGCTCCTGGAAGGTGCAGGGCAGAAAGTTAGTTCAAACTTAAGACAGAGAGCAGGGACAGATGGTCGCGGCTTCGGAGAGCTCAGGGGAGGTAACAAGTGGGTCTGTGTCTGCCAGGACCGGGTGAGGAGACAAACAATACCAGAAGACTCCAGGCCAAGCAGGCCGCACAGAGCAGACCGGGCTGTTGGGGTCCGAGGGGACTGGGAGGACCTGGTACAGAATCCAAGGGGGCGGGTTGGAGTGGGGGAGACAGGGAGGTAGTCCCTAGAAGGAAGCTTGGGAAGCGGTGGGGGAATGGGGCAGAAGATAGGCTGGGCAGGGTAAAGGAGGCTGTGGGAGACGGAAAGGACGGAAATGTGGGGGGGAAAGATAGTAAAAGGAGGCGGAGAATGGGGGGCGCTGATCGGAGGACTGAGGGCCAGGGATGGCCGGAAAGGCAGTGTGGTGCGGGGGTCGGTGGATGGGGCGGTGTGGTGTGGGGGTCGGTGGATGGGGCGGTGTGGTGCGGGGGTCGGTGGATGGGGCGGTGTGGTGCAGGGGTCAGTGGATGGGGAAGTGTGGTGCGGGGGTCGGTGGATGGGGCGGGGTGGTGTGGGGGTCGGTGGATGGGGCGGTGTGGTGCGGGGGTCGGTGGATGGGGCGGTGTGGTGCAGGGGTCAGTGGATGGGGAAGTGAGCTCCGCAGAGTCCGAGGGGGAACTGAGAGTCGGAGGACTGGGCGGGGGAGGATCCTAGGGGTAATGAGGGGCGGAGTGGAAGGATGGGAGATGGAAAGAGGGGTCTGAGGGGTAGTGGGCGGGGGAGGGCTGCATATGGGCCGGGTGCAGTCAGAGAGGCAGTGGGGGAGGCGGGGAAGGGAGTGAGAGGCTGGGGGAGGAGGGGTGAGCATGACAACGTCCCAGGGACATTCATTGTGGGGGTGGTTGGAGAACGGAGGGCGGGAGGATGGGCGGGGCAGGGTCCGAGGGACAGTTGTGGGTGGGAATGAGGGGGAGGATTGAAGGTGGTGGAGGCGGGGCAGCGGAGGATGAGTCCCGGGCCTATTCTAACTCCACTTTTTCTCCTTCCGCACAGCGGGTTTCCGCTTCCCTCCAGGGCACTGGGTGAGGCGGTGAGGCCGAGGCTCGACGAGGTAGCGCCGCTATGTGGCCCCGGGACGCAGAGTCGGAGCCCGATCCAGAGTCCCCGGACCGCCCCCGAAGTGGCAGGACAGTGCCCGGGCTCCGCGCCCTGTTGCCCGCGCGCGCCTTCCTCTGCTCGCTCAAAGGCCGCCTCCTGCTGGCCGAGTCGGTGAGTGCGCGGGCTCCCCGGGTACCCGAAGCCCAGTCCCTGTATCCCAAGCCCCAGTTCCTGCGCCTCCCACCCAGGAGAGTCGCGCGAAGTTTGGCCACCGCCCCCAAACTTGCGACAGCTTCTTCGGAGCTGAGCGCGAGTCCAACTCAGGCCGATCTTACCGGCTTCTCCAGCTTGCGAGACCCTCGAAAGGGACCAGAGGACACGGGTTTGAAGACTTAGTCCCCGCTGGCGCCGCGGCCCGGCTGCCCTTTGACCGACCCCTAGCGCCTCCCTGCGCTCGCTTAGCTCCTTCAGGCTTTGGTCTCCCGGTATGCACACCCTCCCACCTCCCCGCGTGAGACCCGACCACCCGTGGGGTGCGGATCCAGCGGAGTGGGACGAGCCTCCGGGGAGTGGGTGAGGCTGGGGCTGCGTAGTGAAAGTGCTGGCAGACTGTTGTCCCAGGGCATCGGACCAGCGGGGTGACTTCATCCCCTCTTCCTCCTTCCCGCTTGTCCCCACCCGACTAGGAAGGTCTCCTTTGTCCTCCTAACACTCCCGCATCGTCGCATGTGGGGCGGGAACTGGCACGGAGCCGACGGAGATGGTGAGAGGGCGTGAGGAAGGACGGTGGAAGGAGGAAACAGCCCGTGGCGACAGCCACTTGTTGCTTAGATCGCTAGCAACGTGATATCTGATCTGCTCCCACTTAAGGCCGGGATGGGGTGGGGTGCATAGAAAGTGAGACTAGGTGACAGGGTTTCTGCCCTAGGGGATTCCCCCTTGTACCCTGGGATACATGGAGGAGGCGTCAACCCTTAGGTCACTAGTAGAACCCAATACTTTGTACCAAGCAGACCTAGAACCCACTCTTAGATTGGCCATCTCAGATCTCTGGATGCCACCGAGGCAGGGGGACTTTGAATCACAGGCCATTGAGGAGGCTTCAGGCCTGCCCTACCCATGGAGAGGATGGGGGGGGGGCAGTCAGAACTCACAAGAGGTCCTTGGCCTAGCTAGATGCAGAAATCCAGGCCTAGGAAAATAAGAAAGGTAAGGGGTGACTTCACAGGATACAGGGGAGCCACTCCTAGTCATTTCTCCCCCTGGTCCCCTGCAAGTAGGGAGTCTGACATGGATAGGAAGCTAGAGGAAGTGGGCCCCAAGAATTGGGGAATGAGAAAACGGGACTCAAGGTGTGTATGTGTGTGTGTGGGGGTTCACCATAATCAGACTTAACTGAGGGGGAGAATGAGAACAGAAACAGGAGAGACATAAGAACAGCCTTTTAGCCAGAAATACAGTGGGAGCTGATGACCGGGAAACCTCAAAAAGCCTTTCTCTAAGTCTTGGTTTCCTGTTTGCCTAAGGGAAGCTCAGCTTCCCCCATGGCATGTTCAGGGAAGGGGGTGGGAGTGGGGTCCTAGAGATGAGTTCATTTGTCTGAAGCAGCCATAGTACTTCCTATGGGACATCAGAGTTTCCCCTTTAGACGCCTTAAAGTACTGAGCCAAGGACAGGCTCAACCCCGGCATAGTGACAGATATACGCCAAGGAAGATAAAGGCCTTTAATGTCCTAGGTACAGATGCGCTAGCCTCCTATTAGCTGGGTGACGCCAGGTCTGCTCCTTTTAAAGACAGGCTGTGAGTGATGCTGAGGAACACAGTCTATCAGTCTTAGAAAGAGTTATCAAGAAGTGGGCTTGAAAAGCCTCTGGCCTATCATCTTCATCTTGTTTCCCTGCCAAGCACAGGACTGACCCGCAACTATCTGAATGATATACAGCAGGGACCCATTGTCAATGCTGTCTCCAAGGGAGTTAGAATTTTGTTGAGATAGGGTTTCATGTATCCCAGGCTGCCTAAAACCTTCTATCTAAAGCTGAGGATGACTTTCACCTCTGACCTTCCTGCCTCCGCCTCCCACTCGCTAGGATCACAGACTTGTAGCACCACGCCCGGTTTATGCAGTGCTGGGGATCAAACCCAAAGCTTTGCTCGGACTAGACAAAAACCTTACCAGCTGGGCTACGTTACATCTCTGTCCTCATGCACAGTTCCTTTTAATGAAGATTTGCAGACGCACAAGAGTGTCAAGAGATCCGTAGTAACAGCCCTGCGTCCACCACCCCAACTGTACAGTGGCTGACACTGCTCCGCCTGCTTTCATCATCTGCGCCCATCAACCTCCCTTGTGTTCTCATGCATTTAAACTCAACTGCAGACATCAGTACATTGCAACTCCAACCACTTCGGCATGCCTGTCATCGTTAAATGAAGTTAGGGTTTTCGTGAAAAGCACACATCTTAGGTTTGGGGTGTGACTTTTTCGAAGCAGTAGCTGTTAGCTCCAGCTTGCCCCCTGTGGACACAGATGAGTTGGGTATGTTCCATTGTAGAGCCATGAAAGGAGCAGCCCCACAAGGTGGCCTGTGGGGAGGTGGAGGGTGGCTGTAGCTTCAAGATGAGGTCCTAGCAGGGGTTCAGCAAGGTATGGGGATTTGGGGTCCTGTCGTGAACTGGGGGTGGGGGTGGACAAGAGGGTTCGATTCTCCTTGCTCTCCCACAGGGTCTTTCTTTCATTACCTTCGTCTGCTATGTGGTGTCCTCGGCATCTGCCTTCCTCACGGTACCTCTGCTGGAGTTTCTGTTGGCTGTTTATTTCCTCTTTGCTGATGCCATGCAGCTGAATGACAAATGGCAGGGCCTGTGCTGGCCCATGATGGTAAGGATCGGGGAACCCAAGAAGAAAGGGTCGGCTGTCATCTGGGGTTCTGCAGTTCAGCCCTGCTGTCTTCCACAATGGTGGGCGGTTTTAATTCAGGGCCCTCACACCCCCACCCTGCCCACCCCGCTGCACTGGGACTACGGGACCTGATGCCTGAATTGCCCTGTGAGGCTGGGCACCCAAAGGTGGCTCCTGACCACCAGGTGGAGCTGTTGCTCTGGAGGAGGAATGCGCCTCAGCCACTGGCATTCAAGCCGTTTCCAGCAGAGTGGGGTAACTGAGGACTTGTGGGACTTCCTAGGTTCTAGTAGTCATCTGGCACCTGGCTGAGGACCTTACAGTCCCGAGAGAGTACCCTTCAGTGGATAAAATGCATTCTAGAGAATAGGCAGCAAAGGCTAGGCTTGAACTCTGCTCTCTGGAATTTATCTCCAGCATCCCTGTAACCACCTGGCGATAGCTGCCCTCATTGCAGACCCACCTTAAGGACTAAGCAGAGACCATGACCATAAATGGATCTCGCTGTGGCAAAGCCAAGCCTCCTGGAAAGCTCGACTTTCTCCACTTGCCATTTCTGCCAAACTGCAGAGGCAGCTATAGCATAGTCTACACCCTACTAGCCCCAGGGCAGAGAAAACTCCAGCTGGACCAGTGATGGGCAGTATAAACTGCTGCTGCTGCTGGAGGCCTGCAGAGCGAGAGATAACTAGATCAGGGCCTGGCCATGCAGGTGGAGCAGCACAGGGACTCCATGGGTGCTAGGGCTGAGCGTGTTGGGCCCCCTTGCTGTGTCACATGGTGGGAGTCGGAACCGTGTGGACATGTCCCTCTCTCCTCAGGACTTCCTGCGCTGTGTCACTGCTGCCCTCATCTACTTCGTCATCTCCATCACTGCCGTCGCCAAATACTCAGACGGGGCTTACAAAGCAGCGGGAGTGAGTGGCTGCCCTGCCCCCTGGTGGACATACCCAGCAGTGCCCTTCCCTGATGCTCCAGGTCATCCCCCTTGGCACCCGCTTCTACAGTGGGTCCTGGGCATATCCTGCCCCTGCTTAGGCTCTGGGTCCCTATGTGGGTCTCTGCCATTCCAGTCTAATTAAAAATTGTCCTGAGTTGAGAGGCTGTGTCTGCCAGGCTCACAGCCCATCTCCCTGTTTGCCATAACTCAGAAAGGCTGTGCCTGCCCATCAGTCCTGGTGGGGCCTTTTCCTCGGTGCTGCCTGCATCTGCCCAGTCTCCTGGTCCATGAGCCCAGAGTGCTTGTGATATTTCCATCCGCCCTGCCTGTGCTCCCTGCCATATGCCATGCATGTATCCCACAGGTTTTTGGCTTTTTTGCCACAATTGTGTTTGCAATTGACTTCTACCTGATCTTCAATGAAGTGGCCAAATTCCTCAAGCAAGGAGACTCTACAAACGAGACTACAGCCCACAGGACAGAAGAAGGTGGGTGACCACTCTGCATGGTTTCTGAAGAACCTTGCTGGTCACTTTTACTTGGGTTTTGCTTTTTGTATTTGAAACAGGACCTCACTCTGTGTAACTGGCCAGAACTAACTCACCTTGTAGCCCAGCCTGGTCTCAAACTCATGACAACCCGTATCTGACTTGTTTGGAACTTTGTGCAACTGGGCCAGGTACTTATGGAGCAGGCCAGCAGTGTTAGACAGAGTTGTTCCCAGGGCTGGTCTTGGCTGTAGGATCTTCTCCACTGAGTACTAAATGTCTGAGGTAGGGCATTTGGTTAGGTTTTGGGGTCACCAGCTTCCCATTGGGATTCCCATATACTGTCCCGCTGCTAAAAATGAATGTCATTCCAAACTCATTCCTGCCTGGTCTGTGGCAAACAGGTAAAATACTCCCAGATGCTGTCTTCCAGCCTTTGGAACCTGGAGCAAATGCTGGTCAGCCAGCTCAGGGATCAGAGCATAAACGTCCATGGAGACATGCATTTTGAATATTTTGTGTGGCATTCTTGGCCTATATGTTAGATATGACTATAGAAAAATGGCCCTACTTATACACCCCTGGATAATTGGTGAGGGGGAAGAACCAGGGCTTGGGGAGGAAGGTAACCAGCATCAAAATACAGCCACCAGTGCCAGGGTCAAGTACTAGTGAGGCATGAGGTTCCAGAAGGTTCTACAGAATAATCTTTAATAGCCAGATTCCAGGAGCCATTAAAGTTACACCACTAATTGAACTTAACATGATAAAATGTTTTATATTCATTTCATAACATAAAACATATAAATAACTAAACTTATAAAATAGCTTTACAAAAAAAGAAAAAGCAGCAGCAGCTTGCCCATTTTCTAGTGTATTTTAGTTCAGGGACAAGAAATTAGTTGTCTTTGCCTTGTCCTGCTGAATAGGGGTGGAGAAAGGGGTGCAGATGTACAACTCCAACATCCTCAAGTGAGAAGGGACATCTTGGGCATGCCTGAACCCCCTGGGAAGGAAGCATCTGGACTTTGGGCTGAGTAGAAGTGCCTGCTCTACCCCCTTGTGTCCCAAGGCCCAGCATGCCACGAAGATGGGAGAGGCTTGGCCTAGGGCTCCTGCTGGCAGTCTGGGGTCCCTCCTCCTACCCCACGCTCCAGGGACTGGTGCCAGCATCTTCTGTTTTCCTTTCAGAAAATAATTCCAACTCGGACTTGGACTCTGACTGAAGGTCTGTCTGTGCCTAGCAACTGGTGCCACTCAGGCCTCCCACCCGCACCGTCCTGAAGGGACCACGGGAGCATGGCAGTGGATGCCACAGAAGAGCCGACAGAGGAGCCGTCTCTCGAGGTGACACTCCTGAGCCTCACACTCAAAGTCGGCCGTGCTGGCTTCCTACTGCTGAGCTAGCACAGTAGGGCACTCTGAATATCCTCCCTTCTCCCGTTTCCGTCCTAAAGACCTTGAGCCTTTTAACCTCGCTACCCCACAGACGCAGCCGCATCAATTGGAGCCAGTCACCGCAGTTCATGTGGCAGCCCAGGGTGGGACAGACAGAAATCACGGCAGGCTGACCCACCCAGCCCCAGTGGGCTCTGCATGGACTGCTCCTATTCACTGCACTTTGTTGAGATAACTTTCAGGAATCTTTGTTGAAGAAGTTTCCCCTCACTGTGAAACAGGGAAAAGCCTGACTAGCCAAGTTCTCCATTGTAGGTCTGAGACCTTTTCAGAAAAGAGCCCAGAGACCTGTTTACCAGGGCCTACAGGCAGGAAGCAAACCAGTGCAGTGGCAGTGACAAAGTCACAAGTGGCTGGGCGGGCCCAGTCAAGCCCTCTCCTCCTGGGGAGGCTACAAGACATTTCCTCTGGGCACCTGGGCCGGCCTACTGGTAACACGGGCCTTCACTTGGCTGCTGATAGCGTGTATGTCATTGATGTTTTCTAACTTTTTTGTAATTTTTTTATTCAAAAGCAATGTAACAAATGTCATTTTCTGTGATCCGAGGCCCCATAAATGAACCAGAGTTCTGGGCCCATGTCTTGGGCATTTGTAACCTTCTTCCTACCTTGCATGTGAATCCCCTCCCTAGAAGACTGCCACAGTGGATTAAAACAAACTGACTACCTGCTTGGAGTGTGCCTGACTGAAAAACTCACCTGCTGCCTACAGTGCCTGCCCTTGTCAACACAAGCAGGCACAATGGGTCCTGGTGGCTGGTGGCAGTGCCGAGGCAGGTCACGTCTGCTGGGCACCAGGGCAGCGTCTGACCACTGCTGATGCCTTTAACTCACTCCTCCAGTCAAGGCGGTAAAGGGTAAGCAGAGACCCTGGTTAGGGTGATATCCTCAACAGTCAGAACCTGGGGCTTCGTGAGCAGCTGCTTTGAGGACCTCAGCCAGCGCTCAGGACCAAGCACACAGCAGAGCATTCTGCTCGCGGTCACTGCACACGCCGAAACACACGGAGGGTCAGATGCAGAGGCCGACAGGCTGTGCAATGCCCTGAACCTGGCAAACTGCTACTTCCACAGTCTGGTTACAGCCTGCTGACTGTGACTCCATGTCACCCCCACAGCGAGCTCGCTGCAAAAGTGGGGTCTAAAGCTTTTGGGGAGAAAAAAGAGACTAAAACAGTTTTGTATGTCCATTTATTAAACAAGAACTCCTTCATGACAATACAGTATTCATTAGTGATTAGTGTTGAGAAAATTATTTCCCTCTACATACAAAAATACAGATTTGAACACTATGAAAACAATCAAGACAAGTACCATGAAAAATTGGTCCTTCAAAGGAAATTGGGGTGGCTGAGGGCAGTGTGAGGCTTAGTCTGCTGTCAGGGACAAGTGTCACGGGACTCCCACATCACTTATTTCAAGCACGGGGAGGCCCACCCATGGTGACCATGCCAGATGGGCCTCGAGGCCAAGTTCAGTACTGCAAACAACCCAACTCAGTTGACTCAACAGCCTTCACCTTGGAATGCCCACAGCCATGTCTACAAACTGCCAGAAAGAAAAACTTGAGCTGGGCGTGGCGGCACACTCCTATATCCCAGCGTTTAGGAGAAAGGGGCAGGATGATTGCTACATGGTAAAGGCCATCCCAAGACTACCTAGCAAGACCCTGTCTCAAAGAAAACCAGACAACAAATAAAACGTGGTAGCTATTAACATTGTCCCTACAAAGTGCCACTAGTTAAATCAAGTGCCAGTGGCCCATCCTGGCAGAAATCTGTCATTCAGCCACCTGATGACTTTTTTTTCCCACAGAATTACATGTTTTGACTCTTCAAAAGGACAAAAACAAAGAGCTACAAGTTAATGTCTCAGAGAACCCGTACCTTTACTCAGCAACGCTCAGAGAGTTTTTCCTGACCCAGACAACTCCACGGTACAGGGCCAGGAAAGCAGAGTGAGTGCGTAGGTCACCCTGTGCCCTGGCTTTATCCAGCCTGCCACAGCAGGGAATCTACTGCTCTCTGGCCGCCCAGAATGCAGGCCATCCCTCAGGGGCATCCACAACCCCACCTCGAATCCAAGTGGGGTGGGCCCCAGAGCAAGGCTAGGTGCTGCTAGGAAGCCGTGGCACTCGGCCTCTCCTAGGAGACAGCCAGAGAACAGCCTGAGGCTGGCCAGAGTGGGAAGGCAAGGAGCCAAATGCAAGCTCTTCCTGCCAGACCCAGAGAGCGGGAAGGCAGGGCACAGGTGACCCTTGACAAATGCGACCACTTTCTCCTCATTGTTGGTGAGCAGCAGCTCTCCCAGTCTAACAGTGGAATGATGTCAAATAGTATTAGAGGAACATGACTTTTTTTAAAGAAATGTCCTCTGACCCTCAGAAGCAATAGCAAACGTGCGGAGTGGGAGGAGTCACTGGAGGGAGTCTGACTTTGAAATTTCAAACACACAGGGAATTTCAGAGGAAAATGGCCCAAATTTCAAGACTGGTATTGTGAAAAGCAATACTGAAAGGACATTATCATGCTACAAAAATAGTGTTATCTGTCTTAACTAAATGCCCCCCCCATTCCATGACTGACAAGAGTGCTTGTGTGACACATGGAAGGCACCAAAGGTGAAGAGATCATCATAAAGTACACAAAGACAAAACTGCCTACTTAAAAAAATACAGACTGCAATAAATAGCTTAGTGTTTCTGCCACGGGCTCCTAAACTCCTATAAACTTCAACACACAGACAGCTTCACTCCCTAACATCCTTCTAGATGGAACCATGTCAAACAAAATCAAGTCATTTAAAAGCAATTATTTTAGGCAAACGGGTCAATTTCATCATGATGTGAATTTTTTAAAGGGTTAGGAAGGAGAGAGTTGGGAACAGGTGAGTCTGGGGCACAGCATGTCTTGTTCTTGCCCTCTCTAGCTAACTTAAGCCCTAAATGGTAGTCCTCTTCACTGCCACGAAAACGGAAACAGAATTGTGAAACTTGCTAAGTCAGTTCTGAAACCAAGGGAAACAAAGGCAGGTTAGTGGAAGGAAGGAAGCAGTGTCAGTCACGCCTGGCCCTGCCTTGCGTTGGAGGGGCGAGGTCAATCCTGCTGTGGTATTAGCAGCATCTCTCTTCAGAAACAATTATGAAGGAAAGGCAGTCCACTCAGCCCTGCCCGAATCCCATTAACAAACAAGGCTGACTGAAATGGCCACACACGTTCTTACCATAATTACAATCAAACAAGTTCCATTAACTCACCATGGTCCAAGTGACCCTTAACCAAACCTCACCTCAATCAAGTTTCAGAATAAAAAGGTAAACTAATGACACAAATACACTGTTCAAGGTCCTATAATCTAAAGTTGATCCTAGACAAGTGGCTAATGCTTTGAGCTCAATGGATTTGTGCCCCCTCAACCCACAGATCCCCTTTCCTCTTAGGCATTTTTTTAAATAGGAGAAACTAGAAAGGGGGGAAAAAAAGCCCAAAGCCTCAGAACTTACATCCAATGCTATATTGACTATCATGAAATTCAAGAGAACATTCCCTTTTAGAAGAAAATTCTAGATCTAACATGAATGGTATTTTCTTTCAGAGGTAATGGCTAAATAAACATAGCAGGTCAAGTATTTCAGATGACTTTCTCAACCAGAGAGATCTGATTTCTTTTAAAGATGCTGCTAAAATGAGAGAAACAACAGATTAAGGAGGTGGGCATTAACAAAGCCAAGAGAACGGGGCTGTCAGGTCTGCATCCTGCCTGGAATGCACCTGAAGCAGATGTCACCGGCTCAAACCTAGCCCAGATGCCAGCACTGAGGGATGGGGGTCTTCAACATCCAGCTCTTGACTCAAGTCCACTCGGGGAGCATAAGACCTCACTCTTCCGAAGAGGAGGAAGTTAAGGACATGCTTCTGGAACAGCAGGGGTTATGAACAAACACATCAAGCGCCATCTAAGTTGTCACATTGCTCCTACTGCAGCCTCCTCACACCAGGCCTGTCACGCAAACCTCGTGTATCCATCAAACCTCGTGTATCCATCAAACCTCCGGCCTACTGGCCCCCTATGGGGGCAGGTGCTGATAAAATCAGTGAGAGAAACCCTAGATTATGCAACTTTACGGTAACTAAAAGGTACTTGGAGACATCACACAGTAGAAAAGCAGTTTTCTTTTTCCCTGCTTGAGAATCAGTCAACTTCTGCCATCTTCTTAGTGTCCCTATTGCTATGTAGATGACACCTTGAGAAAAGGCAGTCAGGCAGGAGCACACTAACCATGGACTACTGTGTGTTCTGAACAGAGACGGCAGAGTAGGAGCCACCTACATGGTCACTAAATTAGACACAAGTCTCCAAGCTCCTAAGACTGACCAACAAGGAATCTGACATGGGCAGAAATGAATTCTCAGGCCACCTCATAGATAGGCAAGGAGTTTCCTCCAAATAGTACAGTTGGTATCATGCACAGAGATAACCAAGACTCATTCAAGGCAAGCAAGAATTCACATATGTGCAGGGACAATAAAGTTAGACCTTCATTTCTTCTAAGACTGCCTGAACCACTAGAAAAACTTCAAAGAAGATACTAGAAACTTGAAAAGAGAAGAAATGTTTTCAGGTGAGCCATGAAACTCTCCAGAAGCATCCAGCCGAGGGTGGAAGCCAGGGATACAAGGTCTGCCCATGTGTATGAGCCTTCCAGCCAGCGGCCTGTAAAAGGACCCCAAGGCCAAGTGCTCACTGCACAAGGACCAGGGTGTCCTTGCTGGTTTCCCTGTGCCCAGGCCCTGCCCACTCTGATATTTTAGCATATCGCTAAGAAAGATGTGGGTACTGGGTGTGGGCAGCTTACTGAATTTTGCTTTTTTTTGTAGACAAAAGCAATCTGCCCTGCATGGCTATCTACTTTAAATAGAAATTCTCTGAAGAGAATTCATTCCATCACAGTGTTCGCCCTTTCTGGGAGCCAATAAGTATCTTAAGGTTTTCTTGTCTCTCCATTAAAGGAAAAAGGGCTTACCCTCTGTGCCTTTGGCAGGAAGGGTTGAAGAGAGTGGTGGTGGATGACACCCAGTCAACAGACATAGCGCCAAAATACACTTTCTCTGAGGATGACACTGTTTACATTCATCAAAACTACCAAATGCGGAAGGGCTTCAACCCCACGTCTCCATGACCACACCAGATGTTCCCAACAACTGTATTTCCCTTTGAGTTTTGCTCCAACTGGGAAAGCCAATTCATCCCAAAGGCAAATGGAAAAAAATCTAAGGATGACTTAAAATGCCCAAAACCTAAGTGACATTGGTCCATAGTAGACATTAATAAACACAAAAATATGCTTTTTTTTTGCAATTTGCAGAGGCTATTTAAAAACTCCAAATCTAGATTATCTTCTATTTGCACAGAGGCATGACAGGAAAAATATAGGTGTCTTTGCATTCACTGTAGGCAACCATATTCCCTTCATGGCTTCTCACCACGTTGGTTGTAGGAGTGGGGCTGTGCATCACGCCATCAGAGCGTGTACAAACCACTTCTGGCTCTATGGAAGCTAGTTAAATAGTACAAGGGAATACATATACAAAAGCCACGGGGAAGCTCCATAGTACAAAGGATATTAAATAGTTACTGGGATATAAATAATTACAAAGATAACAATTCTGACACTAAGATGCAACTAACTCTCAAGTCTTTCAGGCCCTAAAACACCACCACTGCTATCATATCTCAGTATTCCCGGTCTCAATGGGCCTCAGGATTAGTTCTTTCAGCTGACAACACTCTCAGAAGGCCTCCTTTCAGCACATGAGAAAATGGTTTTATTGAAATGACTTGGGAAACGAGCAGCAATCCAGTCTGAATGCTTCTTTCTTCTGGCTCACTTCAAAGGTGGCCTGTTCCTGAGGCCTAGTAACATGATGAAGCCCAGGGCGGTCCTTCCAAGTGGGCCCCATCTGATGCAGGCCAAGTCTTTGTCACCCTATTTTAAAGGGAATTCTCCAAGGGAGAGAAGCCCAATTTTGATTGTGTAGACATACACAACACATGCAAAATAACCATGTAAAACTGACAGATAAAAATCCATCCACTCCCCCACATCACAACATACAACAGCTTCAAAGTTGGTAAAACACAAGGTGTACTGACAAGACTCACAACATCCCAGGACAGACATCTCTATCAGGAGCTGGGCAAGGGCCAGATGCAGGCTGTCCTCTAGAGGAGAAGAGAAACAGGGAGGAGAGTTACACCAGACTAGCTGTCCTTTGAACACATGACCTGGACTACTGTCATTATGGAACTACAGCAGAACTGGATTAAACTAGATGTTGGGTTTAGGGAGCCAGTCCCTAGTACTCCCCTGCCCTGGCCCCAATCAGATATAGCCTGATCCTGTTTCCTGTGGACTCCTGAGCCCTGCAGTGGTATCTGACATAGCCCCTTTGCTATTCACCCATACAGCACCGCTCTTCCCTGAATGATGCAGAGCCATGGCACCATGGCACACAGGGGCACCTCCCCAGACTTTCCTCCCCAGCCTCGCCACCGTTTGTCTCAGTGGGAGATAGTGGGGGCTCTCTACTATTGCAATATCTTTCTACCAGTCATGTCTTCTCCTTGGTGAGGCTACACACAAAATATTATTAGAGCTACAAGGTCTGTAAACATCAACAGTTCAGAGTGAGAACCTGACATGTTAAAACAATTTTCCAAAAAGTTATAATTAGTCTCTAACAACAACAACAACAACAAAATTACAGCATCATAGGGGCCTGCTCAATTCATTCACCACCAAGATAAATCTTCAGTTTATCAAGAACCAATCCAAAAGCCAGATGTAACTAGGATTCCTAACATGTTCCAGGACTGGTGTTCATAGTAAGGACACTCAGGCACTCAAAATGACAACAGTGCCTCATGGCATATCTGTGGAAAGATGTGTCCTGGAGCAAATTCAAGTATTTTCAAATCCTAGATAAACTGACCCTGAAACACTTTAGAGCTTGTCTTGGATATCAGAGAATTACACATGTCCATACAATAGAAGTGTGAATGTGTCATTTTGTAACACACTTACACACACACACTGCCTGCCCCCACATACACACATGTGATCCATGAGGCCAGCAAGTGGGCAAGTGCCTTGGCTAGTGGAAGGACTGTTTCTTCTGCAGCTTTCACCTAAGAAGGAACAAGCGCTGAAACTGCAGTTCAGCCTCAAGATATGTAAGGCAGGCAGGGGACTGGCAAAGATGATGGTCCTCTATCCCAGGGAGTGAACATGGACCACAGGAAGGTGATTCCTTTGAGGAAGAATCAAGTGATTTCTCAGCAGGGTAGGAGACAAACGGTCACTGTCCTGTGAGTCAGTGGTCCCACAGGGCACTAGATTTTCCTGTCCCTGTAACATAAAGACCTGGCAAGGAGGTCACAGGAGCACATCCATTCACCAAGCCCCTCAAAAGTCCCACCCAGGCCATGCTGGCTGCCTAGATGCCCTGGACATGGAAGACAATGAGGGTGGATCTAACCAGCCAGACTCAAGACCCACCCATAGCTCTCTAGGGGGCTGTCCAAGAACCTCACTGGTAATTCCAGCCCTGTACCTCTATCTTATGACATATAGTTCCCTTCTCAATGCCATTTCATAAAGTCTTGACTCATCAGAAATACACATGACAGGATGGCTCAGAGTCAAATGAGACTGCGTGTTCTAAGACAGACAGTTAAGACCTAGCGCAGTCAAAGAAGTCTGCTGCTCCCACAGGCACCCAATGCTGAAGGACCTGGGCTCTTCAGGCCACCACAAATCAGTCACTGGGCCACTCTAGGCACCCTTTCCCAAAGTGAATTTTTACCAAACAGGACAAAATTCAACTGGATCACACAAAAATCTGACGTGCTGAGAGAAAGAAAACTTGATTAGAAGAATGGGTGTGAGGGCAGTGGGAAGAGACTCCAGAAGGTTCTCATGTGTCCAGGCGCTGGATCTCAGGGCGACTGTCCACATCTCTGGATTCAGTGCGAGCTCGGATGTAGTCATTAGCACTCTGCTGGCGAAGGCTGACTCTCCATTTCTGCACAGCCAGGAATGTGCTCACTGCATAGGCTGCCGTTGCCAAGAAGCCAAATATCTAAAATACATAGTCACAATTTACCCTTGTGCATGAGCACTGAAGCTGAAGCTGAAGCTGAGTGTTGTCATAGGGACCCAAGCCTTGCGCAACCCCTTCCAGCAGAACCAGATCCCCAGCCCTACTTGATGCATAGCTGTTAGCTGGCTGAAGCCATGTGACCCACAAAAAAATCTAGGCTGGCATGAAGTCAACTAAGAGGTCTTTTGAATCTTCTAAATCTATTTCCTTTCTTTTCTTCTTTTTTTGGTTGGTTTTGTTTGTTTGTTTTTGAGACAGGGTTTCTCTTTGTAGTCCTGGCTGTCTTAAAATTTGCTCTGTAGACCAGGCTGACCTTGAACTCACAGAGATCTACCTGCCTCAGCCTCCTGAGTTCTGGGATTAAAGTATGCTCCAAAACTATCTGGTTTGTTTACTATCTCTCTGTGTCTGTCTGTCTGTCTGTCTGTCTCTCTGTGGGGGGCAGCTTGCTCTCTCTCCCTCCCTCCCCCCTCTGAGTGGGGGGGCAGGGGTGTCAGGAATTTGGAGGTCAGAAAACAGCCTATTTAAACCAATCTAGCCTGCTTACCACAGCAGCAATCTCTGCTCCGGTTCTGTGGTTTAAAGCCGCCAGGACAATTGAGGCAATAAAGAAAAAGAAAGTGCTGAGTCCAGTGTTGACCAAATCCTAAAGAAAAAGAAAAAAGTAGAATCATTTGCAAAGCAACTGAAGAACTTTCCAGCTAAGACCCATGAGCTCATTTCTCTTGTGCCTCAGTCTCAGTGTCACGGGAGACTGCGCACTGGAAGGAAAAGAGAGTAGTAATGATTTACAACATACCCTTAACTCTTGTGTTACCAACCCTGACTAAAGAACAACCAAAACTGGTAGCAATGCTTATTATTGAGAGTTTGGGTTGATTCATTCACTTGCAGTGCTGGACATGGAACCCAAGTCTTTTATATATACAGGCCAACAGTCTACCACTGAGCTACCTACCCACAGCCTTCTAGTGCCATCTTTTTTTGTTTTGTTTTTTTTGAGACAGGATTTCTCTATATTGCTTTCGAGCCTATCCTGGAACTTGCTCTGTAGATCAGGTTGGCCTGGAACCTACAGAGATCCACCTGCCTCTGCCTCCCGAGTGCTGGGATTAAAGGCATGCGCCACCAACGCCCGGCGAAAACACACTCTTTTATTATTAATAGACTTTCAAGCTTCTATGTCACCAAAGCCTGGAGGATTTTCAACAAGCTTCATGCAAAGTGAATGAGGTTACTACACTACCAACACTGGCTGGTCCCTCAGGTCTAGCCTGATTCCCAGAGGTTGTTTTTTTTTTCCTTCTATTTTTCTTTCTTTTCATTTTTTAAACATTTTATTTTTGAAACAGAGTCTCAAAAGTAGCCTTGATTGGCCTACAATTCATTAGGTAGACCAGACTCAACCTCATTGAGATCTGGCTGCCTCTGCCTCCCAAGCGCTGCGATTAAAAGCACATGCCACCGTACCCTGTCAACACTATCTTAATAGTACACACCTGTGTGGCAGAAACCCAGAAGCCAGGGCTCCTACTGGGCTTCTGCCTGGGCTGGAGGAAAGCTGCAAAGTAGGGAGCGTGGGCTCTGTTCAGTGCTGCTTTCCAGCTATCATATTATTTAGCACACCAGTAACTGCTAACACGGGCACACTTCTGCCTGGATCCACCAAATCAATGCATAACCAGGAGCACTTGCCCAAACAGTGACCTTAAGACATTGATGCCTGCCTATAATCTCAGCACTTGAGAGGTGGCGGCAGGAAAATCAGAAGTTCAAGATCATCCTTGGTCGCATAGTTATTAGGAGACCAACCTGGAATACATGGGATCCTATTTCAAAAATAAAATAAAATCTAGCATATAATTTTCCTCTACTTTCAAGGCTACAACAAAACCAGTTCAATTTACAACTGACATTAACTTTTCTAATCAGTACCTCCTTTAAGCAATCCCTACCCTCACCCCACCCCTTTTGTCTTTTGCCCATCGGGACACACAGGGACTGTGTGATAAGACGGATCTTCCCTGCTTCATGCCCCAGGACATACCATGACAGCAGTCCACTACACCTCCTGTTTCTTCCACAAAGTCACCTTTTCCTCAGGTGCCTGCAGGAACCATGCACCAGCAAGAGTCAGAGCCACGCTGGGCTTTTCCATGGCTCTAGGCACTAGGGTGAGAGTGTATGGGCTGCAGTCCTGAGTGAGGGCAGGGGATCTACAGACAACCCTCCTCACTCTCCCAGAGCCATGATGCCTCTGGGTTCCCGCACAGGTAGAGACTGTGAGGCACTATTGCGCTTTGGAATACCTCCCTCAGTGATTCCCTCCCGTCTTATACGTGTTCATATACAAAGCAAGAGCAAGAAACCATGACATAAAAATTCTTTTCATTCAAGAACAAATAAAAACAACAAAGTTCAGGAAATTGGGACTGACAAGTTCTGAGTATATCAGGCCAATTAGCAAGAGGGTCCAAACGAGGCTCAGAACCCAAGGTACTAAGAGAGGATGCATTTCCTCTGCAGACCTTCATATTGTCAATTCTCTCAGAATCATATTTTGCTGGGTTTTGAGACAAAGTCCTGTTATATAACCCAGAAAGTCTAGTTCCTTATGTAGACCATGAAGACCTTGAACTTGCAGTGATCTTCCCATCTCTGCCTTCAAAGTCCTAGGATTACAGGTGTGAACCATTATACCTACCAGAATTAATATTTTCATAAATGGCTCTTGGGTCTAGTCTGAAAAATATGCAAATGGATTATTTTTTCCCACATTCTACAAATAGCAAAATAACCTCCAGGTAAGTGTAAATACAAACGAGATCCTGGAAAGGGCCAACACAATTTTGTTATGATGTTTTACCATTGAGTTAGGATTCACTTTACTTGTGTAATTTTACTCAACCAGTGAAGAAATTTAAAACTTCATAGCTGAGTTATGAGGGAGTGTTCAAGTACCAAAATGAACTGGAGCTACACATGACAGGAGAGATTCCCTTCTCCGTGAGAGTCAAGCAGCATACTCACTGTCAGATTCCAGTTGATCTGGGGGATCCTCATGTGAAGGTTGAGACTGAAGAGAATCAGCAAGACCCCAGTCACCACAAATGCACTACAGCTTACGAACTCAAAAAAGTAGAGGCCTTCGCACGGGGAACACTCCATGATGGTCTCGATGCAGATGAATGCAATCAGGGCCAAAATCTAGCAAGAAAAAGTATGTATGTATGTATGTATGTATGTATTCAGTACACATCTATGGATATACATGCTTGCTGTGCTTTTAAATACAATTGAACAGTATACAGCAGCAGGGTTCTACTCTACTGAGATTAGTGTTACCGAGAGAAACATGACTAGCTTCAGCTTGTAGGCAGGAACAGGTAGAGGAATTGGAATGGAAGGTTAAGTTCCTAACAAAAACAGTGAGGTCCCTCCACTGCTATACTGAAACCAGTCACGCATGCTGCGGCCCTTCCAGGCCCTTTGGTCCTCTGGAAGAAGGAAGAAAGGAGGTATCTCTTTAGCATGTTAGTGACCCCTTCAAATTCCCTAAAAAGAAGCTGTCCAACTCTCTTCACTTTTCACATACGAAAGACAAAGAAGCTCATATGCATTTGGAAAGTGGGTCACTGGATTTCATCAATAGGTGGGCTGGAAGTTTACTTTTAAAAAATAAACACTTTAAATCTTTGAATAGAATCAATTTCTTCTGAAAAGCCAATGTAACATTCTAGCATTGTGCCCCAAAATTCCAAGATTATAAAACAAAAGAGAGATACCAGCAGATATGACCATCTAGAGTCCAGGAGAAGGGGGTCCCAGGCCATGTTAATGCCCTCAAAGCATGGGTGCCCTTAATAACCAACACTCGATCAGCCCCAGGTTCCAAGAGTCTGCTCACAGAGTTATCCATGTCAATCCTTTACCAGATCCAGCCCACTCCACCAAGACACAGGTCAGTAAAGCACCGGGGAGCTGTTCCGAGGCCCTCGAGAGCCAGCAATGCGCACTCCCTTGGGGTGGCACAAAATGGGGAGGTTCTGCCCTTCTTCCCCAAAGTCTCATTCACACCTTTCCAACCTTGCAGACAAGGTTTCCTCCCCAAATGCTCCCTGTGGTTTTCCTGCCACACATGGTTTTCGTGCACTTTTATACTGTCTAAGTGTTTGACAACTGTGTCTGGCCACCTCCCTCTACTCCTACGGCACCAAGCACTATAATGTGCACAGAGCCAACAGGAGACTTGGGGAGCCACACACCTACCCTTCCTGTGAATTTGTCAGATTCTCCCTGTGAAAGGAAAGTTGGCTCTGCCATTCCTGCTGTCAAACCACCCACCTTTCCTAACCTACATTGTCAGCCTGCTTTTATATCCAAATCAGCACACACGATATAGACTTGTCTGTTAAGGGGTACAAAATTTCACTTAAGAATTAGTTCAAGAGATCTACTGTATAGCAGCATCACATAATAGATACAAATTTTCTTAATCCAATAGAAGATGAAACAAAGTAAATAAGATGGATCTCTAAGCACATACTACTTATAATTCTCCATAGCATAGACCTTAATTCTCCATCGGAAATACATGCCTAACTTGCAACGACACAGTTCACAAAAGGAAAACACGGAAATGATTTTTTTTAACCCCTGTAATCAGATCTACTATCTTGGACAAGAAATAAGACACTATACTCATAAGTTACAAACATCTAGTACCCTAACTTCAACCACTTTTGGATGGAAAGGTAACACCTACATTCTTTTTTTTTTCCTTTCCTTTTTTTTTTTTTTATTAAGTTAGAAACAGGCTTGATTCACATGTCAATCCCAGCTCCCTCTCCCTCCCCTCCTCCCCCGCCTTCCCCCACTAGAGCCTCCAGTCCTCCATCCAATCTCCACTCCGATCCCCAGGAAGGGTGAAGCCCTCCATGGAAGATCTCCAGAGTCTGTCATTTCATCCAGGGCAGGCCTAGGCTTCCTTAGAGTCCAGGCTGAGAGAGCATCCCTCATTGTGTGATGGGCAGCCAAAGTCCATTTATATGCTAGGAATGAATACTACCCAAGGCCCCATAGATTACCCAGGCCTCCTCACTGACTCTACATTCAGGGGGTCTGAATCAGTCCCATGCTTTCCACACAGCCATCAATCTGGGGTCCAACAGCTCCCCTTTGTTCAGGCTAATTGTTTCTGTGAGTTAAACCAGCCCTGTCTTAACCCCTTTGCTCATCAGTTCTCCCTTTCTGTCACTGGATTACAGGAGTTCAGTTCAGTGTTTAGTTGTGGGTGTCTGCCTCTGCTTCCATCAGTCATTGGTTGAAGGTTTTGTTTCCCAGACTCTCTGGCTGTGGGTTATACACTGGCACTCCGTTGATCCATGTCTAAAATCCATATATGAGTGAGTACATACCATGTTTCTCTTTTTGTGATTGGGTTATCTCACTCAGGATGGTTTCTTCTAGTGTCATCCATTTGCCTGCAAATTTCAAGATTCCATTGTTTTTTTTTTTCTGCTGAATAGTACTCCATTGGGTAAATGTACCACCCTTTTATTGTCTGTATATAGTAGGGCTGCTGATTTTCTTGAGTTGATCTTGTATTCTTCCACTTTGCTGAAGGTATTTATCAGCTGTAGGAGTTCCCTGGTAGAGTTCTTAGGGTCACTTATGCAAACTATCATATCATCTGCAAATAGTGAAAGTTTCACCTCTTCCTTTCCAATTTGTATCCCCTTGATCTCCTTTTGTTGTCATATTGCTCTAGCTAGAACTTCAAGGACAATTTTGAAAAGGTATGGAGAGTGGACAGCCTTGTCTTGTTCCTGATCTTAGAGGAATTGCATTGAATTTCTGTCCATTTAGTCTGATGTTGGCTGATGGTTTGTTGTATATAGCTTTTATCATGTTAAGGTAAGTTTCTGTTATCCTAGATCTCTACAAGACCTTTATCATGAAGGGTTGTTGGATTTTGTCAAAGGCTTTTTCAGCATCTAGTGAGATGATCATGTGATTTTTGTTTTTCAGCTTGTTTATATGGTGGATTACATTGATGGATTTTCATATTTTGAACCATCCCTGCATCCCTGGGATAAAGCCTACTTGATCATGGTGGATGATTTTTCTGATGTGTTCCTGGATTCGATTTGCCAGTATTTTATTGAGTATTTTTGCATCGATGTTCATGAGGGATATTGGTCTAAAGTTCTCTTTCTTTGTTGTGTTTTTGTGTGGCTTGGGTATCCCAGAATTCAATGAGAATGAAGACACAACATACCCAAACTTATGGGACACTTTGAAGGCAGCGCTAAGAGGGAAGTTCATAGCACTAAGTACCCACATGAAGAAACTGGAGAATAGTTACACTAGAGAATTAACAGCACAAATGAAAGTTCTAGAACACAAAGAAGCAAACACATCCCGGATGAGAAGACACTAGGAAATAATCAAATTGAGGTCTGAAATCAATAAAGTAGAGACTAGGGAAACAATACAAAGGATCAATGTAACAAAGAGTTGGTTCTTTGAGAAAATCAAGAGATAGACAAATCAACTTTATCCAAACTTACGAAACGGCAGAAGGTGAACATGCAAATTAACAAAATCAGAAATGATAAGGGGGACATAACAATGGACACTGAGGAAATCCACAGAATCATCAGGTTATATTTTGAAAACCTGTACTCCTCAAAATTTGAAAATTTAAAGCAAATGGACAGTTTTCTGGGTAGATATCACTTACCAAAATTAAATCAAGAACAGATAAGCAATTTAAATAGACCTATGACCCCTATGGAAATAGAAGCAGTCATCACGTCTCCCAACCAAAAAAAAAAAAAAAAAAAAAAAGCCCAGGTCCAGATGGCCTCAATGCAGAATTCTACCGGAAATTCAATTAACAGCTTATACCAATTCTTCTCAAAATATTCCACGCAATACAAGTAGAAGTGTCTTTGCCAAACTCTTTTTACAAGGCTTCACTAACCCTGACACCTACATTCTTAAAATAAAAATAGTTCAAGAATATGCAAATGTGATGGGCTACTCATTACAGCAGTGAATTCAACAGACAAGAATCCTTGCTTGTGATATAATAATTAATGATGTTCAGAAGTTAAAGGGGGAAGCCAAATTGATCCAAACAAAAGAGAAAGAATAAAGCACAGGAGGTGATTGAAGATGCCAGCAGACAGCTTGTAGAAGCTGTAGACTTGTGTGGCCTTGGGAAGCCTGCATGCCAAAGAGGTAGGGGAAACAAGAGAAGGCCCAGTGGGAAAGCTGCCAGGAGCAAACTCTCTGGGGCTGTAGCATGGCAGGAAGGCTAGATGCAAAGAGTCAAGGTTCCGGCATGCAGCAGGCCTATGGTTCTCCTTCCCGCCCCCAGTACCAGGGAACAAACACTATTTAGGTACAGTAATTGAGTCTCCTGTAGGGAGAAGACAGCAGGGAGAGGACCACTATAGAGGCTGGAGAACAGGTGGAGAGCCTCTGCAATAACCTGAAGAGGAGGGTGGCACAGAACAGGAAGGTGACAGCCCAAAGGGTGAGCAAGGGTAAGAATTCTGGACATACGCTCAGGGAAAAACCCATGGGATTTGATAACAAGGTATGAAAAGAAATGAGACCAATGTAATTCCAGAATTTTTGCCTGAGTGATTAAAAGAATGACACTACCACAATGACATGGAGCAGCTTGCCAGAAATGAACAGGGAAGGTCAGGGCTTTGGCTTGGGACATGCTAAGGCTGAAATAATCAGCAGGCTGGAAGAAAAGCTGGGGTGGAGACTAGCATCCAGGGTGAGAAGAGTCAAAAAGAGGAAAGCCTAGGGGTAGGCCTGTGTAATCCCACCCATCTAGGACAGAAAGAACAGTTGATTTAGATTTACATCTTAGGTTGCCAGAAGCAACGCAAGTGTGGGATTCAGCCTTCAAACCGTCCCCAGTCATCCATACCTCCCTGATATTCTTATTCCTGCTCTTGTGGCACACAACAAAGGGCCGCGCTGTTCCTTGAGTCTACAGCCTGTGTCAGAAAGGTGGTTGTAGAGGCTGACTGGTTCTCCCCTCCTCTGAGGTTACTCTGCTATCGAGTGACAGCCAGGTTTACGGTGGAAGCCAACATACTGTCTAGGAGAACAGAAAGGAACCATAGCTAGCCCACTCTAGAGTCCTTGATCCCCAGAAGAAGTGCAGGAAAAACAAA